TTTGCAAGAACTTTCAAGATAGATACGAAACTTTTGTATCTTCCTTTTCTAATACTTTGCTTGTTACTTTAAGTGGAAGTGTCCAACTTCAGAACATGGTTAATATTTCAAAAGATGAAAAAATCAAAGTTTAAGCTTTCAATGATTTCAATACTTACATACAAATGAAGTTAAAATAAATATCATTTAGATAGAAGTGTTTAGTCTGCGAAACCAAACAGAAACTCAGATAATTACGATTTCGCAGTACCTATATTTTTTCCCACATCTGCCGTACTGACAGACTAGTTCATTCATAGCCGCCCTCCGCACGCCCATCTCCTCGCCGCGGCGCGCTCTAAATAGTATCCGCCCAGTACGAGACGTGTCACGATGTTCATAGAGCGTCTCGATCACCACATTCACAAATCTCTCACAGGAGCCGAGCGGTTCGCGCGTTTTATTATGCGGAGAGACAAAACAACATGTCGCTCCACCCGCACCTCCCCGACGCGTCTACGAGTGGAGACAACGAATTTGTTCACATACGATGTCTCATTGCGAATATACACAAACAGAAGAATGTGTCAAGGCCACCCTCTACTACTGCATCGCTGGAGATGGTCTTGGAATCTCCGACATCCTCAGACACTGAGTCTCAGAGCGTGACGGAATCTGAAAAATCTGAAGCTGTTCTGGGGGATGAATTGATGCGGACACCACCACCACGCGCTAAGAGCAACAGTATTGCCGGTTCCATGCTTGCTCCGCCTAAAGTGCACAAACGTCGGAGACCGTCGTTCCTGCACCTGCAAGTGGGGCCAAACGAGCACGACGGGCCGCACTCAGCCAGTGCGCACCTCAACGTGCCGCGGTTCACCGTGACGGCGCCTCCAGGGGAGCAGCATCGCCGGTTCAGCCATGGATTTGCCTTCCACGGATTCGCACTACGGAGACATTCTAACACGGTCTGCTCAATGATGACAAGTAGAGTAACAAGTGTTGTGATAACTGCTGTTTTGTTGTTAAATATGTTTGTTTACGTAGTACCTAATTGTGTAAAGTGCATCATTATACAAAGTAATGCAGCGTGTGAATGGTATGTGCGCTTTATAGTAGGAGAGCTGGCAAGAATTTTTGGGTAGGTATTTGAGGCAAGCTGAAAACTTGTCCTGTACCTCTCCTATTATATCCCAATACGAAACTGCAGACCTGGCTGGTGAGTAGCGGGGCTAAATCAACCCCCAAATTTTTAAAAATATTTTTTTTTTTTATCCAAAAATATACTTGAGGCAATTTGCAATTTTTATATGTTGTAGTTTAATATTTATAGAATATAAAAAAAAATAAGCCAGACGATTCAGTCGGGGTTTTAACATTGCCAGGCGCGTTCAAAAATATTTTGCAAAAAAATATAAAAAATGTATTTGAGGCAACTTGAAATTTTAATAGAGTATTATTTATAACTAAAAAATAAGACTCTCAAAAAGACAGATCATTTCGGTGGGACTTTCTACCTGCCAGGTGATCTAACAAATTTTGTATGGGTGCGAGTGCGAAGCGCTATAGACAAACTGTAGAGTGAGATAGAGCGTTTATCGGCAGCTGTCTGCGTTCTTGCTAGCTGCGTTACTATTGGCTCTGGCGAGGTCACGTGACTTACTACAGCCATACTACCATGTGATTTTTAGTTGGAATTTCGGAGTTGTTATTCTCAGTCGTATTCTAATATTTGTGCTACACGATTTATAAGTTAAATTATTTTAAAATGTCTAGTGGAAAATTAGTTTGTGTCATTTGCAAAAAAGACGATGATAAAGTGATTGCGTTTGTAGAGAAAACTTTAAAAAAAAGTCACGAAGTATTAGAGATCCGTAAACATCATGGATTAAAATATAATAATATTGTTTTGCCAGTGATTCCTAACCTTACAGACGGTTATCATACAAATTGTTATAAGAACTTTTTAGCGTTGATGAAAAAATATTATGACAATATTGTGATTGGATCTAATGTTACAACTCAAATGAAAGGTATTGTATTAATTTAATTATTTTTCATATAATATATGCTCTCAAATAAAATAAAGCATTAACAGTATTGCGTTTAAAAATATTGAGTATACATTAGGGTGTCCGTTATTTCCCGAATTGATTTTTTTTTGTTATTGCCACAAATTATGAACACAAGTTTAACCACGAATAACTTAAAAGAATGATTTTATCGAAAAGTTGTAAGTATCAAAATTTGTATTGATCATAGCCGCAGTATCATTTGCTTTGGAGATAAAATATTAAATGCAAAAAATTAAAAAATCCCATGTTATTTAAATGGGAAATGTACCATGATTGCGGCACGGTTTAATTTGACAATTAAAAGCTTATTTAGGTTGGATAATTTTTTTTAGGTTAAAAACTAAAAGTTTAGGAGGCGATAGCAAAAAAAAATCAATTTGGGAAATAATAAAGCCTTTTACTGTTAACGAAAATTTGAATAACATTTTTAAATAATTTTTATTACAGACAATTCACTATCAGATAATGTATGTCAACAAAGTGCGTTTGAACCATCCATATCAGCAACTACAGTTGAACTTTCTACATTTGAAGCAGAACCATCCACATCAACACTCCAACCATCCACATCTACAGTCGAATCAGCAATATTAGTACCCCAACCATCTACATCTATACTTCAATCATGCACATCTACATCAGAAATTCATGGTATTGTTAATGATGAAGACAATATCAGCGATTTATCAAATAAGCCTGTGGATAGCAATATTGACAAAAATACCCAGCTCGATCAAAAAATTTGTATTTTTTGTGACAAAAGTTTAAAAAAACACCAAGGACAACGGCACCCGCTTGCAGAGTTGGATAAAGAAGGTTTAATAAAATCCTTAGAAAAGTATAAAACATTTATCCAAGAATCTGAAACTTACCAAAAAATACAAAATTCTACAACGTTGTATAATCATCGCATTTGTCGAAAAAATTATTTTAATAAATTACGGGAATTTGAAGAAAAACCGGAAACAAATTACCACAAAAATTTACAATTACATAAAGAAGCTTTCAATGAAATTTGCAGCTTTATCGATGAAAGTATAATTACTAATAAAAAATTTTATTCTTTCACATTTATTTGTAATAATTATTTAGAAATTATTTCAAATATTGCTGCGGATAAAGGTGAAGAATATAATAATGTTTTCAGCAAGGCTCACTTCGAGAATAAATTAAAAAAAAAATATCAAGATACCATACAAATTTTATTAGTACATAATAAAAAAATTGTTGGACCGATAGGTTACTTAGTCAACGACGATTTATTAACTTTAATAGAAAAATCGGATGTTCTCCAAAACGCGGCGCTTATTTTGAGGCGAACAATTCTAGACATTGAAAAAACACCATTACCCGATAACATTAGAACTTCAGATTTATTAAAGGGCGAATGTACGACACCTCAAATATTAAAAGATTTCTATTCTACAATATTGCGTGGGTCTAACTTTAGATATAAGTTAACTAAAGAATGCGAACGAAAAAGTTCATCATTGGCGGAAGATTTAATTTTTAATACGTCTCATGGCACAATAAAACCGTCGAAACACATTACCCTTGCTATGACATTAAAAAGTATAACAAGTTCGCGAAAAGTTGTTGAGATTGTTAACAAATATGGTCATTGCTGTAGCTACCATACTATTGAAGAGTTGGAAACAGAAGCTACATTTTCATCGTCGAGTCGATCTTTATCATGTCCTGAAGGAATTATCACTGCTGATGGGTTTTGTACGGGAGTAGCTTATGATAATTTCGATCGTTTTGTCGATACCACATCCGGTAAAAATACATTACATGACACTGTAGGTATTATTTACCAAAATGCAGATCAGATTGAGAATTCAGAGGATGATGTTGGTGAAGACATACCACAAGAAATTTTTCCAGAAGAAATGTCAGATAATAATGATAATCAACAACCTGGTAATGACGGAAACAGTAATCACACGACAAGAAGAAAAAAGAGACGACGAAAGTTTGAAGCTATCGTTCCTGACTTACAACCCTTTCCGAAGAAAGTGAGACTATCTGAAACTTTATTGTCATCTTCAGATGAGCGAAGATCAATTTCAGTAACATCATTACAAAGAGTAAAAAAATTAGATGTACTTTGGATGTTATCACATGCTTTGAAAATTCCTGACACTCCTATGTGGGTTGGGTTCAATAGCCAAATCGTTGAAGATATTAATACTACAAGACAGAAGATATGTTATCTCACACCAATCAACGAGTCACCAACAGCTAAAAATGTCGTTCTCGAGACATTGAAAGAGGCCCAAAAAATTGCTAAAGAAGTGAAACAGTCCGAAATAGCAGTCACATATGATTTGGCCATCGCTAAAGTAGCGATGCAAATTCAGTCAATCGAGAAGCCGTTGTTTGACAATGTATTCATTCATTTGGGGTCCTTCCACATCATGATGGCTTACTTTAAAGCGGTAGGTAAATTTATATCTGACTGTGGACTTATGAATGTTGCGGTTGAAAGTAAAATAATTGCTAATGGGTCTGTTGATTCATTTATTTCTGGCAAGCATTTTAACAGATGTAAGCGATTACACCCTCTGATGGCACTCGGATTGGAAATTTTATATTTTAGATTTTTCTTAGATAATGAAAAAATTACTATTCCTGAAAATTTCGAAGCAGAGCTGATCGCTTTTAATAATCGAAATTTATCCTACGACGCCTTACTAAATAATAGCGAAGTTTCGGAAATAATATCGGCATACAGTGCATTTAAGGAAGCCAGTCTTAGTGGAGTTCACGGCTTAACTCCACAATTCTATATGATTTACATTAATCTCGTGAATTATTATCAAATGCTAAGCCGAAGTATACGAACAGGAGATTTTTCATTGTTTAAATATATCTTACCAAGAATTAACAATATTTTTTTTGTTGTAAATCAACCGAATTATGCACGTTGGCTAGTTAGATATCACGAAAATTTAATCAAGCTGAAAGAAACTCATCCACAACTACATGAAAGTATGGAAAAAGGTCATTTTGGCATCCAAAGAACGGATAAGTCCTTTTCTAGGCAACCAATTGATTTGACGCTGGAACAGACAATCAACGCAGATGCTGGAAGGAGATTAACGGGTGTAATTCATTTCACAAATTCTATTTCTGCTCGTCAGCGTTGGTGCAAAAGCCATGAGATTCGATCAACGATAATATCTCATACCTACAACATTACTGGATTACGAAAACAAACAGATGTAACAGCAGATTTGGAAAATTATAATATTAGAAGAGACTCGAAACACCTTCAATCGTTTATTGATGCTTTCTCAAAGTTTGTAAACCCTTTTGATGCAAGCATCGACCAACTGCATCTCTTCAATATTTCCAACGGAAAAGCAGCTACACAAGCAGTGCAAGATTATTTAAATAAAATTGAAGTGGATGGTCAAAAATTACGGGAACAATTTATTACAGAATGCACTGATTCACCTGATAGGTTCGAAAAACCTATTCCAAAAGTAAAAATAATGAATTTTTCAAATGAAATTGTTAAAAAGACTTTCAAAAGTGGTAATAAAGTTCAAGAAATAAAAATGCAACGTGACTTGTTTGGTAGACTGCTGGGTTTATCTTTGGACTACAAGATTGACATGGAAAAAATTTTGTGTTATCCAGTAACCCCTCTTCCGATGTCAATGTGCCGTGTCGATGGAAGTTTATATCAAACCGATAAATCTGCAATTGTTAAATGCTTTGAAAAACAACAAAAATGCACCGATGCACCAAGAACCTTAGATGTAGTTATCGTTGATGGATTTTTTTTGTTGCATACAATGCACGATATACCTGCAACATTTGGCGGTATTTCAAAAAAAATAATGAGCATCTTGACAGCATTTAAAGCTCCACGGGTAGATATTGTTTTCGATCAATATTTCTCTCCATCTATAAAAGATTATGAACGGATGCGAAGAAATGAGCAGAGAACAATTGATTTCAATATCATTGGTCCCAGCCAAACTAGACCAACAGACTTTATGAAAGAATTGAAAAATATTAAATTTAAAGAGAGTTTTGTCCAGTTTTTAATTGATTATTGGGCTACAGATGAAATGGCAACATTTATTGGTAACACATTAATAAAGTTGAATTATGATTCGTGTTATTCATATATTGTGAAAAATAATGTTGTTGAAATGACTATTGATGAGAATCTGGCCTGTAATAATCACGAAGAAGCTGATACTAAGATAATCCACCATGTGTGTAAGCTCGATACATATAGAAAGACGAACGTTCTTCTTAAAAGTTCGGATACAGACGTACTGATAATCATGCTAGGAAATATGGATCATCTTCAAAGCGATGACCTTAACATTTTTATGGAGTATGGCACTGGGAACTCTAAATTTATATGTTAATTATTTTTAAAAGGGGGGAGTATATGTAGCGGCACTATCACGTCGCTACATTACTTAGATACGATAGAGATAAGACATACATGTTAATTGTTGCACGTTTGTTAGGATAGCTAAATCTGAAAATCTCACGCATCTTCTTAGTATATAAGCACCAGCAATTAAAGTAATAAACAGACCTTAACCATCTACAGTCTCATTATTTACCTTGCCACGAAGTCTGGCAAAAGGTACATCAATGTAACAAAATTATACATGGAATTAGGGCCATCTTTATGTGCAAGTTTACCTGGTTTTCATGCATTAACAGGATGCGATTATAATCCATCATTTTTCCAAAAAGGAAAAATAAGGCCATATAAAATATTGATAAAAAATCAAAATTATCAAAAAGCTTTAACAGATCTTGGAGTTGCACATATTACCGGATCACGTGAAGAAATTTTGCCAATTTTGGAAGCATTTATTTGTGAAATTTATGGATATAAAAATATATCAAATATAAATGCAGCACGGTTTCAAAAATTTTGTGTAACTTACAAAGCTAACACTGAAGATGAACCTTTCAAAAAAACTTTAAAAAATTGTGATCCCTCTACTTTACCTCCGTGCAAAGCTGAATTACAACAACATCTTTTAAGAACGCAATATATAACGAGTATTTGGAGAAATGCATATTTGCGATTCCCCAGCAGTTTGACACCGAATAGAAACGGATGGACACTTCATGAGGATACGCTACATTTCCACTGGTTCGACGGAGATTGTATGCCGCAATCAGTATTCGACGCTATTGTTCATGAAAACAATAAACAAAATAATATTGAAAATGATACTACAGGTGCGTATATATAGTTTTTTTTTATAACTGCTGTATTTTAATTACTATGATTTATTTAATCAATCCATATATATTACTTTTCGCAGATAATGCAGGGGTATCCGAATTAGACACAGATGAATCTGAAGTTGATTCTGATAGCTCTGATGAAGGAGCATCTACAGAAGAAGAATGACAATTTCTTTCTGATATGACAGGGAATTAATTACATTGATATTTGTATACTCATAATAATTCTGCAGCTGTATTATTAGTATATAATTTTTCTATTTCAATAAATCTGATTTTGTAATTTTATATTTTTGTAATCATTACTTTATAAGATCACCTGGCAGGTAGAAAGTCCCACCGAAATGATCTGTCTTTTTGAGAGTCTTATTTTTTAGTTATAAATAATACTCTATTAAAATTTCAAGTTGCCTCAAATACATTTTTTATATTTTTTTGCAAAATATTTTTGAACGCGCCTGGCAATGTTAAAACCCCGACTGAATCGTCTGGCTTATTTTTTTTTATATTCTATAAATATTAAACTACAACATATAAAAATTGCAAATTGCCTCAAGTATATTTTTGGATAAAAAAAAAAAATATTTTTAAAAATTTGGGGGTTGATTTAGCCCCGCTACTCACCAGCCAGGTCTGCAGTTTCGTATTGGGATATAATAGGAGAGGTACAGGACAAGTTTTCAGCTTGCCTCAAATACCTACCCAAAAATTCTTACCAGCTCTTGGACTATTACTTTTTGGCAGTTACTTGCATGACACTCAATAAAACCAAATTCAACTCATTAGGTAAGTTATTTTATTATTCAGCCGTCATTTAATCGAAGTTCATCCCGGTTTATTAACGTACTGAGAATGATTCTTACAATGAAGAAAAATAAAAATAGAAATGAACGCAGTATGTCATAAATTAAAAATGTATAAAATAATCCTGATTCTCATTATGATTAAATTGAATTGAATGAAATATCATTAAAACAATATTTGCAATAAACTTTTATCTTAACATAAAATAGCATGATATATATATTATTACGTTAACTATAATAAAAAATGTATAAATATAATTTATATAATTAATAAACATAATGCTCTAAACTCTAACTAAACATTGGACTAAAAAATCGCAAACATAATCTTAAACCTAAATCTTCGGTAGCCATATTTATTAGGAAATGGTTAATTATCGTATTAATAATACGTCATAAAACATGCAATAAACATTGAACATTCTTATCATTTTCCATGAAACAATTGCCTCTTAAGATTTTGCTCAGGTTGTAGACAAAACCGGCTCTTGTAAGTACCTACGTAGTTTATTTATTTATTATTGTTATATTGGGCTACCTTGTGATATCACACGTTATCATTATATCTATAAATTGTGTTCATTATAAGTCGCGAACTGTGCCGTGTAAACGTTTACTTGTTCTTGTGCGTTTTCGTTAAACAACGTTCATTAAGGATATATATAATATAGATTTTTTTAGTTTGGAACATTTTTATTGAACTGTATTTTTAAACAAAACACTTATGTTGCGTTTTACAAAATCACAACCAAATGAGGTATTATATTTTTTGCTTGTTATTTAAATACATAATAAAATGTTTTTACATTACTATTATAGTATTTTTTACTAACATTGTGACCCTGTCCGTCAATGAATGAATATTTTGGTCTTCCATAATCCGTTTATTGTACTCGTACATTTGCTTGTGTTGATGTGCATTTTGACAATTATTATAATTAACCCGATTTTTTGTGTTTGCAATACTAATCATCGGAATTGTGCCCATTTGTTGTAGACGACTAACTTGGCCTCATGATGCGACCGGTTCCTTTTGCCTGTCACTTTCTTTTAGCTTTTGAAAAAGATGTAAAATGCGAGAGTTTCAATAATGCATTCTAAGTTCCGTATTATGCTCATATATTATTACTTTACGTACCTATAACTTAGACTTATCCTCCTTTAATTTCACTTTTAAATTAATATAGACTAAATATTCGTGCTTATATTTTTTTACCTTTATCTACTTCAGAGAACGGATCTTTTTACTACCTAATTATTTTAATGTGTAATGTTTCATTATTGTAATTATTGATCATAAAGCCAGTTATAATAGTGTTTAATTTCGTTTGTAGATAATCGCATCCGCGTGTCTTAAAATATATTATAAGTGTTGAAGATCGTTTATCACCGATGCCGTATTCTAACAACACCGTATTAAATCTGACAACTGGAAATGAGAAAAATATGTACCAAACAGTATAGTACCTTTTTGAAAGTATAGATAGAGGTGTGTATCTAATGGTATATTGTGTTGTGTCCAGAGCCTGCACCGCAGCGAGTCGATGGTATCACTGGCTTGCTTCCGGACGCTCTCGCAGCTCGTCAACAGCGACAACCTGGCAGAACTGCAACAGTACATCGCCAACAACAAGAATGTTTGCATCGACGACAAAGATGAGGTGAGTTGCCATTCCATGAAATCATAAAATAATGGTACCGGCTGATCAAGAAGTAATTGGGGTAGGCTTATTTTATATTCAGCTGTAGAAGTCTGGTGGCTTACGTGATGATGTTACTAAAATTTCACTAGTATATCTGATATATAGGAATCCCGTACCAGACGGCATCGCCCTTTTCAGCCGGGGTTGCGGGATAAGCGCAATGAGGCACCGCGGCCTCGGTCAAGAGTAGGAGAAGGAACGGGGGGTTTTAATCAGTAAGAATCTGACACTCCCTACCGCCCGAGAAGGCACATAAGCACACACATATATCTCTCTCATATATGTCTCTGACGCGTGTGTCCATGTGTCCATGGACGACGCTTATGCTTAACATGAAAAGATAAGCGTGCTCTTTTGCAGCCTTATAGCTATTAAAAATATATTTAATGAAGCGCAACATATGTTTAAAATACTTCTGTCACCTCTACTTCTGTTATTGTTATTTAACATCTTGACTGCTGGTATATACGCGTAGACGGAGGTCTACAATTCTATGGATGTAGGTATCTAATAAATATTCTAATTGTAGTGACAGTTTTAGGACAATGAAGCGTACGAGCACGGCTGTTGTTCGAGCTTTATTTAGACGAGCAGTAAATAGTTTGTTCTTACATAACTATTATGGACTAAAGACCTTTCGCTTTTTATCCACCATAACTCTTAAGAACGTAATTTTACAGTACCTAATAGAGTATAATTTTATAAACTTATCTTCAAGAAGATCAGTGCCAAATTACGATTAACGAACATTGTAATGCTTAATTGATTTTAAGAATTGTTTATAGAAACGCTATGAATCATTTTTCTTCAGAATTATTAGATATCGCAAATGTATTCTCCCATTTAAGGTACATGAAAGATATATGATAAAATGATTCAGTATATAAAATTTTCCAATTTTAGGGCATTCTTGAATAATCTAAAAAAAGTCTGAGACTAGCATTTTAAAGAGATATGCATTCCATTTTGAGGTCATTCAATTAGTGGGAAGTGTACCAGCTCAGAATTTAATCTTATCTCTAAATTATGCGCAGCTTGTTGAATCACTAGATCAATAAATATTTTTAATAAATTCTTTGAATTTTACCTATAGAATAAGTAGGTACTGCTTTGTGGAAATATAAAATAATTACTTTACTTGGAATAAAGCTTGTATGGGGTTTTACAATATACGTAAGAATTATATATGTTTAAATTATATTGACGCTTAAAACGACTCATTAACTTTCATTGCCTAGTGTTAACTAGAGCCAAAACATAAAAATATTACAAACACATAATACATTTACTAATGAAATTTTAATGCCTGTCTTATTTTCAATAACATCTGTAGTAATGGCCGACAGTATCCTTTAACGACCAAAGAATCTGTTTACTTAACTGTGTTATTGGTACATACTTAAACATATATGTACTTGTAGTTTCACTGTATATCTATGTTGAGTGGAATGAAATGTTTAAAGCCATTGACCTGACCTAATGACAAAGTAGTTTGGTGTTTTACCTACTAGATAAGTATTATGGACGCTTATCCAGAGTACACTTTCACGCATAGCTAGCTGCTGTTCTGTATCTGATTGGCTACATATTCAGCCTATTTGGTTGGGAAAGTAATTGTTATGTTGCAAGTGTCCCAAAAGGGCACTCTTTGGTTACCATTCGGTGATCCGTCTGTTCCATGTCCAACCTACCCTCATATCCAAACATAGTAATAACATAGTTACCTATTACAGAATGGCACAACAGCCCTCATGTGTGCAAGCGAGAATGGCCGACTGGCAGCGGTGCGGATGTTACTTGGAGCCGGCGCGGATGCTACGGCTGCAGACGCTGATGGCTGGACACCACTGGCGTTTGCGGCCCGGGGAGGACATCTTGCCATTGCTAAAGAGTTGCTAGATGCTGGAGCTCTTGTTGACTCTAGGGACTGTGTGAGTATCATTTAGATTGACTTAAGGATATATGTACTTCCGATATATGGAAAAACGTACACATATCTTGTGCGCGTATTGGTTTCCGTTCTATTAAAACATATAGTTGTGGTCGATTCTGATGTCGTACGAATGGCATCCTACTTAATAAGAAATTTGTAAGGGCAACTATCTGAGATTTTTTACTTAACTTACTTTTTTAACTTAAGTATAAAATTAATATAGATTTGCAACGAAAATAGATGGAAACTTTACAATATTCCCAAAACAATCTGAAAACGTAAAGATTAACATTTTTCCTTACAACCGTTGTATAATGAAACCGACAAAAATACTTCTTAAGAATCTGGAGTAAACGAGATGAAAGAAGTCTTAGAAAATTCTTGAGATCAGTAGAATTGATTGTGGAAATGAAATATTGAGGAATAAAAGCAATTAAGCCAACGATATCTGTGTTGACTCCGCCGAACAGATGTTTCTTACATTTAGTTCAGTCTGCACTATGACATGTTTTCAACAACATGGCACAAGTTCAAAATGACTCATTTATGGACACAAAACATGGTGCAATTAGACGGAGTTTCTTTTCTTCTATGAAGGCTGAATATGACGTCATTGATAGTGATTTTTTGACAGATGTTTATATTGCGTCTGCCTGGAAGATTTTACTTGTCTCCATACTATCTGTTAAATTGTGTAAATACAGAAATAATTGTTTAATGGATTGTTCTGTTGATTTTAGTAATGTACTCGTTAGATAGTCTCATTACTATAATTTATTATTTTTAACAATGTGCTATACGATTTTCGATGTGTGTTGCATATTATGCACCTTTAACTGCACATGCACCAGTAACCCAAATAATTATAATAGAGCAATGACCAAAATGTATTCTGGACTGTGTACTCAAAATTAGTATATTTATACTTGACGTGGATCTCTGCCAAGATGTCACTGACATGCAAGCACATTCTAAAATCTGGCTAAAATATAATGCATTCGTCCATCCAGAACGGATATCTCATTAAATATTTCAGCCGTGTCCAGTGCATTTTTACTATTGTAATGTAAACAATACGAATAAAATTTTAACACATTTTCAGTTGCCAATGAAAAATAGAATTTCGTACGCAAACAATTATATCTTGACACATACAATTTAGTGAACTACTGTCTTTGTATTGATTGAGTCAATGTTTATATCACGCGATTGTTTGTAAGTATGGCTTCATCGATGGGTGTGCAACTCTTTCACGTTCTACCAACAACACAGAAGCTACTACCATTTGTTGAGGTTTATCTAATCTAACACCGCTGTTGCCTAGTCGCTTTCAAATGTGGAGTAGTACTCACGCCACCCGGGACAATAATAGAAGTGGTAAACAATGTTTTCTACTCTGCTATCATGAGACGGGAAGAATATTTAAATATAAATTATTACATAAGTACTAGCTGAATGAAATTTTGTAAGTACTGCATCTAAAAAAAAAACAAATATTTTCTTACCTTTTAAATATTCCCTGTTTAAAAGTTCCCTACGATTTCCCGAATATACCAAAACCAAAATTTGCCAAATCGGCCCAGCCGCTCTCGAGTTACAGCAATTCATTTATATATATAAATACTAGCTTCCATTCGCGGCTTCGCCTGTTTGGTATGGTAACAAAACGCAGTCTGCATTATTCCAGAAAATCACCAAACTTTTTCTTTCAACCAAATGGGTCCAGCCGCTTTTGCATGAAAGAATAACAAACATTTGGAGATTAGAGATTCTCCAAAACTTTCACATGTATGATATTTGTAGGATAGTAGGATTAGATAAGAAAAAAAAGAGATAAAAGATTTTATACACATTAATAGTTTCGATTATTCTTTACGTAACAGGAATGTTTTGTTTACACTGAAACGGTGGCAGCAATTTATTTTAAATAAATGTTTTGAAGTGACAGTGCAAATAGTTTATGATAGTATTTTACGTGAATATTTTTAGTTAGAGGCCAAACGTACAAATGAGGTCAAGATCCACGTTATTGGGGAATGTGTGTGGCTTCAGACTGTTATCGGTAGTCGTTGGAATAACAAAACGAAATAATAAATTATTAAAATAAATAAATAGCTCTTTCCATCCGACTTCTTAGGCAAACCCTGTGATAAATTTCAAAAGTATACTACGTTGTTATTTAATGAAATTAATCTAAGTACAAAGTTTCATATTAATCTGTCCAGTAGTTTTTACGTTATGATGTGAAAGACATCAAATAGTACTTAAAATTAAAAATTCTTCTGATATTATTATGACCTAATATTCTAGCAGTTGCAAAAGTTATAGATGTGGGGAATTTAATATTTATGTAGAAAGAATGTTCTTTCGATAAATCTACCTGTTAAATTAGAACAGACACGTTTTGTTTTTTGTTTATTTATATGATTTAAATCTTTCTATAGCACTTTCTGACTTTTTCAAGGTTTGTAAAAAGAGGTTCTCTGACACATGTTTACTTTGTAAAATAATGTAAGTGTTATCGAACAAGATAGTTTAGACCACTTGTAATTGTAATAAGGAAGAAATTATATCGAGTGGGCTGCATTCCATTTCCAGTAAATTTACATACATATGTAAAGTTTGAACAATGTAACAAAAACTGGATTTTGCGTGGGCGAAAATAATACTTATTAGTTGAAGATTTACTACATAAATATGTATACAGTAAAATCAATTAATGTAACGAACCCTTGCAACCGTTTTTTGGGGCTTAGCCTATAAAACACGCTTAGCTTGTATAATACTTTCTTGAATAAAGACAATAAATAAAAAATAAATTAGTGAAATAATTTTTAAGGGCTTACCATAAACGTTAACAAAAGACCTCACAAGTCAAAGTCCAAAAAGTCAAAAATCATTTATTCCAATTAGACCCTTACAGGGACTTTTGAACGTCAAACATAATTTTTAAAATATATATAGTCTCAGTCTGTCGGAGAGAACAACAGTTCATTTAATGAAATCAAATTCAATTTTATCTAAAACAAATCTAGTTGACGTATTGGATGGCAAAATTTGCATAACATATTATTATTGTATTAAATGTTTTAAGTCTTTTTTGTACTTATTACTTGGTAATTTAATATAGTGAAATGTTTATCTTTCTCTCACAGGGTGGTTGGACACCGTTGCTATGGGCATCCTACAAGGGGCACGAAGAAATCGTAGCATTGTTGCTGGAAAAAGGAGCTGACGTTCATGCACATGGCAATTATAATATCAAGTATGTTGTGTTCATCTTTTGATCAAAAACTTGACTATAAGGAAAGAAATAACTGTTGCTGAATCGTAATCATTTCAATGTTTGATTACTTTTCTAAATAGCTTCTAAACCCACAACGTACTTTTGTGTTGTTCTGTTTATATTCGTTGAATCTATATCAGTTATTAACTTTTTTACTGCCATAGACGACAAATAAAATATGTATAGGCTATTTCGCCTATTTGAACCGACCAGAAAACGTCATAATTAAGTATATTCGGTTTATCGACTACTGCTGACCATGGCAATCAAAGGTTTAATATTCCAAAATTAAAAAGAGATTTATGATAAAGATGGCCGTTTATATCGCGTTCGGTAAACTGGTACTTTTTTCAATCAAACACGTTGTCCCTCAATAGGATTTTCTCCGGTGTCGTGGGTGCGTTTACAAACATAAAATTTTACATACACATCACACCCAGACCTAAATCGACAATTTGCTGATCAAATAAAGAATTGTTCGTTGCGGAAATCAAACCAGCCAGTTGCCCACTCGCGCTAACAGTGCAGTCACTTAGGTACTGCTTAGTACTTACACAAGCTATTTAAACATTTCCAGTAAGATTATTTCTTAGATTAAAGACATGGTTTACTCAATTACTTGTTTAACAATATTTATATTATTTATCATTTATTTGCCATCGTTCTGTGGTTCATATTACAGAACAAGACTGCTTCTATTATGTTCAACTTCGTCATCATACAAACACCTATTTGTGGTTACTTCTATATCCATATCTCATTTTCACAAAGTTATTGTACTTTATTGCCTTAGGTGCAATGAAAAATCGTTTTACCGTCTTTAAAATAAGACTTATTATGGAAACGCAATCATCTTTCAAATTACCATAGGTAGGTTTCCGATCACCGACTTTATGATCCAATTATAATTGTCAACTACTTATAATAATTTTATGAGTGACAGGTCTGAGTCGCTTGCTTATAAGTACGTGATAAGAAGGAGACCTCTATATATGACACTAAAAGATGTAATGACTTCGCCAATAAGATTGACTGCATGGTTGGCGTAGGGTCTGGGTAACCGCGTCGAGTCCGGTGTTCCGCAGGGCTCTGTTCTAGGACCACTCCTGTGGAACATCGGGTTCGACTGGCTCTTGCGGGGCAACCTCCCCCGTGGCACGTCTGTCATCTGCTATGCAGACGACACGCTCCTCACTGCCCGGGGGAGAAATTTCGGAGAGGCGGCCAGCTTGGCTTCGGCGGGTGGTTCAAGGGTGGTAGAGAGGGTCTCCCGCCTAGGGCTGACGGTGGCGCTGCACAAGACCGAGGCAGTGTTCTTCCACGGGTCCCGGCAACGCCAACCGCCTGACGCGCACATTCACGTGGAGGGTGTCCGCATTGGGGTGCAGGCCCAGATGAAGTACCTGGGCCTAGTCCTCGATAGCAAGTGGCGCTTCAGCGCGCATTTCAGTGGGCTATCGACACGCCTATTGAGGACTGCGGGCGCCCTCTCGTGGCTCCTCCCTAACCTCGGGAGACCTGGCGACCAGTGTCGGCGTCTATACGCCGGCATTCTGAAGAGCATGGCCCTATACGGGGCACCTATCTGGGCGGACTCACTGTGCAGACGGGAGAACGTCGCCGCCATCCGCAGGCCACAAAGGGCCATTGCACAGCGGGTGGCGAGGGCATATCGCACAGTGGGTTTCGCAGCGGCGTGCGCTCTGGCGGGTACCCCTCCTTGGGAGCTCGAGGCATGGGTGCTCGCCAGAGTGTACGACTGGACGGCGGAGCAGAGGGCGCTCAACCGGTCCCCGGCCCTTGGGGAACGGGAAAATGTGCGGGAAGAGGTGAGGGAGGCCATCACTCGGCACTGGGCTGAGGAACTGGCCTCTGCAGAGTTTGGCCGCCGGACGCTGGACGCCATAGGGCCCGTCCTAAACGACTGGCTCGATCGGCGGCACGGCTGCCTGTCGTTTCGTTTGGTGCAGGTCCTGTCCGGGCATGGTTGCTTCGGATCGTACCTGCACCGAATAGGGAGGGAGGAGTCGCCACAATGCCACCACTGTGGCGCCGCGGTGGATACTGCAGAGCACACCCTAGAGGTGTGCCCATCGTGGGATGAACCCCGCCGCGCCTTGGTGGCAGCGGTTGGGGACGACCTCTCGCTCCCCAGCGTCATAACATCCATGCTGGGGAGTGAGGAGGCATGGGCAGCGGTGGCCTCCTTCTGTGAGGACGTCATGTCACAGAAGGAGGCGGCGGAGCGCATGCGGGAAGAAGATCCTCTCGCAGCGCCGCTCCGCCAACGACGAAGGGGCGCACGAAGACGGCGTTTAGTACGTCCGTCCTCATCTGCTCCAGGGGGTGATCAGCGGGCGACAAGCGCGGGGGCGCAAGCGCCAGCATCGCACGAATCACCCGTGCTCCGGCCATCATAAAGGCTCCTCCCTAGTAGGGGGGAATTGAGGGGCCTGCCATGAGGCGGGCAGTCGCCGGTGGGGGACTGGACGTCATGGATTCCCAGACCCCCTCCACTCAGGCGAGGCCGGAGTGCCACTGGGTTTTTTAGTGGGTATACCGGGAACGACTTTACCGGGGAGTCCCACATAACCCTCTCCCGTCCCCCGACGGGAAGGGTATGCGTAATAGCATTTTTCCCAGTGCCGCAAAAAAAAAAAAAAAGGGTCTGGGTAACTAGCTGCTGTCCAACGTGTTGCAGGTTCAATTCCCGCACGGAACGACACTGTGTGATCCACTAATCATTGTATTTGGCGGTTTGAGTATGTGAATTTGTATGTTTGTAAACGCACCTATGACGCAGGAGAAAAACCTACTGTAGGGCAACGTTTTATTAAAGTTGAAAAAGACCTATACAATACATGTTTTGACCATAAATTCTCCCCTTAAAAGTGACTAGACCACGAACTAAGGTCTTATTACGCCTCCTAGCGTGTAAAAGCGTTTAAAATATGGCATTATCAAATTTCCTTCAGCTCGCTAGTATGGGCGGCGGGTCGCAAGCACAGTGGGGTTGTCCAACGGCTATTGGCTGCAGGTGCGCGGCCGAATTCGTGCGACAAGTACGCCACGTCCGCGCTAACATGGGCAGCAAGGGCTGGCGACGTCACGTCCTGCGCAGCGCTGTTACGAGCTGGCGCCGACGCTAACACCGCTGGCATGTACTGCTGGACCCCACTCCTGCAAGCTACACATGGTAGGACACCACATCATCATTTGCTTTTTCCTAATATTGATTTAACCTTTCAATAGTAATTGGAGACACAATAGAACAACTATAACTACGCGAACACCGGCGTTCGCTTGGGTGTTGATGAATTAAGACACATTAAATTAATTATGGCTTAACTTACGTAAGTGTATGACGGGGCACATCGACTAGTTTCAAGCCACGTCGGGGCTCATAGTCTTAAAATAACATTGCAGTTAAAGCGTAATACAAAAAAGTGTAGTTCATTTCCTACTATTCTTAATAAAATATATTGGTCTTCATTAACCGACTAAATGTTAAAAATTCTGTTATTTTAAAGGGTTTCTTACTTATACATATGTTGTAAATATACATGACAATCTATAGTAATTGATATATCATATGCTCTCAAGGACAAGAAGATTCTAGTTTGTTATTCGAGTTAATTATCATATTTTATAGTTGTCCTGAAATAACTACTTTGACTAGCCATAAAGCATAGTAAAAGAAACCTTAGTTATGCACAATAAATTACAAAGTTTGGCAAAGGTTTCACATGTGACGTTACTTTCCAAATAAAACTGCCTGTTGCATATGATATAATGCGGTTCCAATGATCCGTATATGCAGTTTGGCACTAGAAGGACAAAATTTTATGTTTTATGAAGCTATAAATCTTTCGCTTCGCTTCCTGTCTACTTAATACTGAATTATATACCGATATTTTTTGTTTTCTTTACGGGATTCTGTTTTGTGACCGCATGTTTTGAACGTCACATAGTAATAGTATAGATAACGTAAATATATTACTTAGTAGAAAATTGTTAGAATGAAAGTAATTATATTTCTATTTCAATATTTTATATATTTTTGACCTGTATAGTGTATTCTGCCCCTTATGTGTCATAAGGGGTGGACCCTTATGACACATAAGGGGCAGAATACACTTTATAGTAGAAAGAACTCTGCATTTCTTAACCTCTAGAGCGAGAAAATATTTCCACAGCATGATTGTATGAACATTTATCTATTTTATTTATAAATTCATGAAGTTATACAATCATTAACAGACGCGAGAATTAAACTTATTAAAAAAAAGTATGCAGTCTGTGTTTGTTCAAATATGTATATCCTTTTTTTGTCTTCACCTTACTTCATAAATTATGCCCTAGTCAGAGGCTAGGCCGGCCGTTCCCCTTCGGAGTTCGGAGAATGTTTCTGTTTTAAAATTGAAATTTTTACCTTCAGGCAACCACTTCGAGATCGTCCAAATGCTGTTAGAACACAAGCCCAATGTGAACGCGTTAGACAAGGACGGGTATACCGCGCTAGCCATCGCATGTAAAGAAGGATACTACGATATCGCTTTGGCTCTTATTAACTCCGGCGCTTATATTAACGTGCAGGTAATTTATAATCTGTCCTACTGTTAATCTGTTCATTAATCATTTATTTTCTAACAAATAAATCTATTATTTTCTATTCCAATCTGTAACTCTTTCTTAAACATGGTGTAGGAAACATATATATTTTTAAATCTATTCTATTTATGAATGCCTCTTTTCCTAAATCTAACCTTTTTTCTAATTCTTCAAACGAATTGCTTAACAGCTTCAAAGTACATACTAGACACTAAAAACAAACAAAATATTTAATTTTCTCTCCTAGGACCAATCAAAAGACACGCCCTTAATCCATGCAGTGAAGGCAGGCCACAAGAATATAGTGGAAGCGTTACTAAAGAAACATGTGGATGTAGACCTACCAGGGAAAGAGAAAAAGACTCCGGTTTACACTGCCACTGAGAAAGGACATGTAGCCATACTGAAGCTGTTACTAGCTTCCAACCCCGATCTCGAACACAGCACTGTGGTATGTGAAATGAGTTTTATTTCTATTGTGATAGCGTTCAAAATTGGGGCTTGTTTTTTTTATTTAAAAGACCCTATTTTTGTGTATTGTTATCAAAATATAATTCATGCGTCCTAAGCAAAGACAATAATTCGACAACGTAACTAAGTGTTAGATAAATCTTTTTTACAAAATCAATATTTCTTATGTAGGTAATCATCTCATAGAGATCTTAGATAGGTATTTGTACCTACAATTTGTATCTATTGCATTATAATAAATGCATTTGTAATGTGAACTGGAAAAAACCCCTGAGTCGTGGGTTACATGATTTCGCAGAAATAATTATATTATTAAGTATTTTTATTATACAACTTTTAAGTAAACCACAAGTACAAGACGCATAATTAATTATGTTTATTTTATTGTACTTTTTTCTTACATAACAAAATACAATAGTAACTTTGTACATATTTTTAATAATACAAAGTCTGAGCAGCCACATCTTCAGATCTGTATACGATTTGGTCTAGATCATCATGTGTTCTAATACTTGGTTTACTTAACCGCTGAAGCAGTCTGTCATAACAATATTAAGTTTGTTACTCTATCACGCAAAACCTACTAAATCCCAGATAGTGGAATGAGAAAATAAGACATTAGATACTTTTTACGCATGCGTCAATAGGATCAAAAGTATCGATAACATTATAAATATCGATATAAGCCGATGATGGAAGCTTGTGTGATTATGATTTGTAATTAATGTATTTATTGTTACAATATACAGAGTGGCGACACTCCACTGATGCGAGCGGTGCGTTCTCGCAATGCGGAAATGGTACAATTACTGCTCGAGCGAAAAGCGCGCGTCAACGTTGCGGACATTAGGGGAGATACGGCGCTGCATATCGCCATGAGAGCTAGGTCTAAGGTAAAAGAATGCAAATTTATTTTTTTAAGTATTATTATTCTTCATTGTAATTAAATTGATATGCAATTTTATCTTTTGCTAATGATAAGCTAACACGTTTTTGACAACGTCTTATTCAAAATCAAAATTCTAATGAGGTTTTAAAAGAGCTTTAATCTGAAACTTTCTTTACTAGTTCATAGTTACTTCGTCACTTCCGAATCACTCAAATGACATCAAATATTCTATGATTAAAAGTAATAAATTACTTCACACACTCTTTTTAAAAATGAAATGGAGTAGATTATATAAAGACCCGATCCGATTACAAGCAGGAAAATGTATAAGATTAATAATAAATAATTATTTTTAATAAGTAATTGCTTTATTAAATTATGTTCTCGTCTTGAACAATTAATGTCATTATATCCTATGTTCTATAAATGCTTTAAGGCATAGCTACATAATTCCTTCTTATTCTTATACCTAAAGGTAAGACGAGAGTTCACAAGAGTCAGTTAGTAAAAAGTACTAAAAGTGTCTTTTGATTTAATAATGAAATAAAAAAGCTCTTTAATTTGACCTTCATACTATTAGCACGAAAACAAAAACATCTGACAGTCCCGGCCTAGTGCGTTAAAATGGCTTTGGACTAGTGTAACCCCGCCCTTGCTTAGTCAGCGTTTATTCCTATCACTATACACACTTACATAAAATATTATTTTTACAGCAAATCGTGGAGATCCTCCTAAGGAATCCGAAGAACAGTCAATTATTGTATAAGCCGAATAAATTGAATGAAACGCCTTACAATATAGATATGAGTTACAATAAGACGATATTAGGACAGATATTTGGCGCTCGCAAGCTGAATACTAATGAAGACAATGAGAATATGTTAGGTTACGAGTTGTATAGCGCTGCTCTAGCCGATATGCTTTCTGAACCAAGCCTATCGGTACCCATAACCGTCGGACTGTACGCTCGATGGGGATCAGGGAAATCTTTTTTGCTCAATAAACTTAAAGGTAAGACATTTTTATTATTCTTCTTTCCTATAATTAAATATTATTTCAATTAGGTTAAAGCTGTCTAAAGAGGTTCTATGTAGTTAGCTTTGCTACTCGTAAGACTCCTAAATGACCGGGACCCTGTGGTTCCGTATTTTTTAAAGACATAATGTACATACATTTAAATCACGCATTTATATTATTCTTACTCATAATAAATGTAACGATGTCAACAAAATTTACATAACGTTTGTACAACAATGTGGTTCTACTACGTTGTAAAACACAAACAAACACGCATTCGTTTGGGAAAATGTCATGCGTCAATAACGATACATAATGTCAAAACAGGTAAACAATATACGACTTACATAATGTGTATATGATTCATTTATCTGTGACGTCACTATCAATAAGATCATAGAACGTCTTAAGTACCTAAAGACCATTATATTGGCACGTCATTAAAATGCGTCTCAGTTGGCACGCCCACCCTGTCATGACATAGCTCTCGTTTCTTTCAAAATAAATCATTTAACTTTTATGAAAGACCTCACAAATCAATTGTCACTATCCCATCCATTATTTTCCGGTGCAGCGGCTGTGAAGTAGCCAAAATATAAAACTTTTCTGTCGATAAATTTGGCTATAAAGATATAAATTAAATTAACAATGAACTGCCCAATTCCATCGATATTTATTTTAGAAAATTAGATCTCTCTAGTTTTCTTTAAATACATTGTACAGTAAAAATCTAAATTATGGCAAGTTAAGGTTTACTATATGTTACTGTTAATACATTAAGGATGTTCGATATTTAATCAATTTCTGAAAACAAAGTTTCATACAAACGTTGCAAGTCAAATTCTCAAATTAATGTCGGTATTTACAGAGGAGATGAAGAACTTTGCCCGTCAATGGAGTGAGACGGGCTGGGCGTGGTCTTGGGCGGTGTGGTGGGGCGCGTGGCACGTGGCGCTGTCCGCGGCCGCCGTGGCCGCCGTGGCGGGGGCGCCGCCCTACGTCGCGCTGGGGCTCTGCTTCGCGCTCTTCGCTTTCATTTACATCGCCCTTTATATACTTTGGTACACTGGAAATAAGTGAGTCTTTTTTTATGTAATACATGTCAGCTAAAACAGAAGAATTACCTAATGGTAAGCAATTAGCGCTGCCCATGTACATGAGCAACAACGGAGGGGCTACGAGTGCGTTGCCGACCTTTTGGGGATTTGTGATTTGGAGATTTTGGGATTGTAGGGGAGGGGAAGGATTGTGCCGACCCATTCAGGCCGAAGCTAGGCTCTCCCACACTTACAGACAGTTTTGTATTGTAAAAGTATATCCGCAAATATTTTGCGCTATTTTTGCGCATAATGTGAACGTCTTTACCATTTAGACTACCATGTATAACTGTACACCTGTGTATTGTGTATATTTGTGGACCGACTGTTTTTCTTGGCAATAGTTAGTCGTTACAGAAGCATTGAACTCTAAAATATCGAGTGCAACGTCCGCTATAATCCGGCAGCTTATTTTCAACTCATGAAGTTAATAAATCATAAATTTTCTTATCGTAACAGAAATAAAATGAGAATGATTTACTCTATATAATTTAAGAGTATGTTGTTTTAAAATCTATACTAATATGAAAAAGCTTTATAGTTTGTTTGAACGCGCTTGGTTTGAATCTCAGGAACTACTGGTTCGAATAGAACTATTCTTTTGGTCTGTTTGTTAGTACATATATGTATCGAAGAAGGTTATAGACTATAAAAAACACGCTAAGATAGCTAGTTTGTTATAAAAGTGTTTTTGTTTAGATACGAGTGGTGGTGGGCGGGAGGCGTGCTATCGGCGCTGGGCCGTAAGTTCAGCTCACTGCTGTTAGCGCTGCAGGTGGTGTTCTGTCACCCACCTGGACCTAACGACCCTAGGGCGTTGCCAGCAACGCCTATTAGGTAAGTTCAGCTTTTTTATACCAAAGATCGGCAAACGAGCACACGGATTACCTGGTGATAAGCAATCAAGGCCGCTCATTGACATATGTAATACCAAAAGAGTATTGAACCTAAACAGCAATTGCGTTGCCGGCCTCTTTCGAGTTATTGGGAATTGAACGATAAAGATAAAGATTTGAGGATTACTGATGGAGAGCGGGAAGTATTGGGCCTCGGGTAACCTCACTCACACGGCGAAACACAACGATATTGTTGCTTCACGTCGAGCCTGGGCATTCGTGCTGATGCATTACTCTCCCGTACTTAAGCAAGCACTCACTCGCTTAGCTTTCAAGGAAATGCGATGTTTAAAACATGGATTCGGATGTTGAAAAAGGGAATATTTATTATTAGTAACATGTTTATCTTTCACATTAAACTGAAACAATATGCTTCAATTTTTTTATATGAACATATATTATAAAATTATGTTTCCAGATTTCATTTTACGGAAGGTATGAAGAGCGGGGGAGGTCAGGAGGGAGAAGCTATGGTGGTTCAGATGATAGCGAGCTTGGGTGAAGCACTGGAATGTCAGTATGGGAGGATATGTACTCGCTTAGCGCGGGCATTTAGACCTAAACCTGTCTCGTCTACGTCTGGTTGGAAGTAAGTGTTATTATTATCCTTATTCTATATTTACTATGTATATATAGTATAATATTATAAATATGGAGATTTAATTTGTTTCAACGCGCTAATCTCCAAAACTACTGGTTAGAATTTAATAATTCTTTTTGTGTTTGATAGTACATTTATCTAGGAAGGCTTTAGGCTAAACATCACGCTAAGATCTGTAGGAGCCGAGTGAAACCGCGCAACAGAAGCTAGTCTTTAATATACTCCTTCGTAACAGACATTTAATTGTTAAATGTGACATTTAATTGCATTACCTTAATTTGTACTACTATCTCTGTCATTTTGTAAAATTTATAGAAACTAAAATATTTTTGATGGAGTCTTAAAATCGATTGTTATACTATTGAAGCATCTCAACAACTCATGTCACCGATTCAGTACAATAAAAAATAAACTATTGTTAAATATTACTAGCGATACGAATTCAAATAAAATGCACCATCTAAAAAGAGTAATGATGGAGTTTCTTGCTCTTTCTTCTCCATTCGAATATAATATTTGGAACGAGCACCTAGCTTCACTGATGAACAGTCTGTCAGACTATTATTCTATTTTGACATTTCAAAAGTACCTATTTAAGTTTTAGTTGTAATAAATGGTTTTGACTTTGAGTTTGATCTTAAATAAATTCAACGTCAATTCTAAACATCACTTGTACAAGTAATGACAAATATTAAAGTTTTAATTAATCTTATTTGCAGGTGGCGGCGGGTATGCTGTATTCCTCACATACTTACCTTCGAGTTGTGCTTCACCTGCATTATCGTTGGGTTCTGCGTGCTCATCATGTACTTAACCGACAGGGATCCTGACCCACAGTGAGTTACTCACACAAATATTCTTTTGATATTTCGTATCGATTAAAAGCAAATTCTTCGTTTATGTTGAAATATATAATGTAGAAAAGTGTTAGTAAAGTGAAAAAGTGATTTCAGTTACGAAGTCAAAGAAAAATTATTAAAGGTATATTATTCGTATTAGATATTAGAGTCATGTATCTGTCAAGAAAACATAATTTTTATTATAATTTTCTTGAGCCATTCTAAATTAATTATTATGTAATAACAATTTGACGATGTACTCGACTAGTTGCTAAAAGCCCATATTTATGAGCAGCATTCTGCGACACGCGACGCAGCGATTGTCTCGCTGCTACAAGAAAATATAAGTTCATCAGGGATTTAAAATCGATTAGTAACCAGAAAAGTAAAGTCGGATTAATGTGATAGTAAATTTGGAATATCAATCTTGAAGAAATATAACGTCATGAACCAGTCCCGAAAGATGTGTGAATAGAGGAGAGAGAGCATTGGTAGTGTACTCGGGGTATAGTAAGAGCTAGATTGCGACGTGTGAATGAGTGTGAGTGCCCTCGCTGAGGCGGCGGGAGATCCAGCAGGGGCTGATGCTGGCAGCCTGCGCCGTCAGCGGCGCCGCGCTGCTCGCCAACCTCTACACCTGCGCGCGTCTACTGGCCGCGCTGCTCCGCGCGCCCCGCGCCCGCCTCGCCCGCGCCGCCGCGCGGAACCCCGCCGGGCTCCGACCTGAGGTCCAGGCCTTGACGCATGTCGTATGTACTCCTTTTAAATAATAATATTCTGTTGACAACAAGTCAAATTCAATCAGCAAAATAATATTGTATGTTTTAAATACAGTGACAACTAGCTAAAATAATTTAAGCTCAATACTTTTATCTAAATATCAAAAAAGCATCGTTTTTTAACCGACTTCATTGTGAAATATTGTCTTGTGATTACATCATATTTTTTTGAGCAAAACATTCATTTCTTTGAAGTTAACTAGATATTTTTATTATTTTCAAATTTAACAGAAGAAGAAAAGAAATTGACAGTTCAATTTAATGTTTTTAATTAATAAAGTTTACATACTAAAAACTATTTTAACACGTGAATCACAGCCGCAATATTGCCATTACATATTACCATGCCATTAGTACCCAGTCAATATTAAGAACTGACTAAGTATACAAATCAAATTTACAAACATTCTAAGTTAAAACCCAACTGCAGAGATTCCTGTTTATTTATATTGTCAGAGTTGATCCATCAGTAAAGCAAGATTAAGTAATTGGTCTAATCTATATATTCGTATGGACAAGACTCTTTAAAAAAGTATCTATAATTAAAATTTCCTCAGGTGTCATGCCTAGACGCGTTCACCGGTCAGCAGACCCGCCTAGTCGTAGTAGTGGATGCCTTAGACAGCTGCGAACAGGAAAAGGTGCTAGCTTTACTCAACGCAGTGCACGCTCTCTGCTCAGACCCCAAGAGCCCCTTCATTCTACTCCTAGCCATAGACCCACATATCATCAGTAAGGTGAGTAATACCATTTTAAACTAATCTATACAATAATATGCTTTGCTTCAACAAATTTTTCATTTCTGTTTAGACACAACCTTAAAGTATCTCAATAGTTACAATATTTAGGGTCTATTTCACAATGTCTTCAGATTAATTTGAATATAGAACTAATTTTGTATGAACTATGTGCATATAAGTTTATCAAGTAAGTACTTGTATGAAGACGTAAATAGGTCCTAAGTCTAGTTTTTAAATTTCTTCAACTTAGTTGCCCGGCTAGAAACCCAGTATTAAGCCAGTGCTTTACAGAAAAACTTTTGGATGTAAATCAAAACGAAATAACAAAAGAGAAAATATTTTATCAGATTAATTCGAAGCAAAATATCGTTATTCACTCATTCATATAAAAAACAACTCTGAAGATTTAAAAAGCAGAATTTACTTAAAGTATAAAATAAACCAATAAATAATATTACTACCAACCTCATTTCCACACTTTATTCATAATCATTTTCACAAAATTAATCCTAGTTTAAACATAGAATACAAATTAGTTACCTAAGTACCTACCTTGCTATAAAAATCAAATTCTTACTAGTATTATGAATTTCATACAGGTTGCTTGGATGGAGGTTAGTCAGTTAAGGTCGTGATAATATAATATGTTGTGTTTGGTGTTTACCTTGTACCTTTCCTATGTTAGCTTGGACCTCGATGTTGTGCCAATTTGTCCAATCCCCTCTTACTATACGTCCGTAGTCATACTTTAAAAAAAAACATAATAAATTAATGAATATAATGTTATGTTATGTTATGTATATCAATAGCCAGGTTTTAACTTTCATAAACTAGTTTGTGTAAAGGCATAAGTACTCAATTTTATATTCGAAATATGATTTACCTAAACTATTCGAGAAAGGCCGACTAGTTTCGAGCCACAAGGAGGGTTCATAATCATTTCACATGATGCTTAAGGCCATGCAAGCCCTACGTTCCAAATTATTATGGATAAGAAGAAAAAAAAGCAAATGATTCAGCTGTCCATTCCATTCTTTGATAAAATAAAAAAATAACAATCCAACTAACATTTAATTTTAAACAGAATGCTATTGACTTAGAAAGGTATGACTGCGGACTCAACCACATTGTTTTCAATCATGTTCTTGCATGATATCTTCAGATACAACCTATCAGATGTATATTCTAGTCATTATTCTGTGTTGCATGATATTCTGTTAGGATTTTTCATGTTTTTTTTTTGTTTTTTTTTATCATTCAGTCCAAACATTATCATGTTTATTTACCTCAAAATGTGAAAACATACATAGAAATAAACTTGGTTTTGTTTTTTTACGCGAAATCTTTTCATTTACGATATCATACAAAATTAATTATATTAAATCAATGAAATTAAATTTAATACTCTAAATTCTACTGCAACTAAAAATAAAACTACGTACGTAAATGACAAATATAATAAATAGAATTGATCAAGTTACAACAGAGTATCTACTATATTACGCGTAGATATTATAATCTTACCAATATCATAGTATCAATTTTCAATGTTTGACGTTGTATATATGACTTGCTAGACAAAAATATACCTAATTGTCAAGTGTACATAATATAAATATTTAGGAAAATCTTTTGTCGCAAACTTTTGATAAAGTTTAATTCATCAAACCAAAGGTGAAAATCGGCGTTCGCGCACCTTTCTTCTATTGTTTTATGTCACTTGCTCTTTTATATTTAAAGGACTTTTGCATATTGTACTGATCTGTCATAGTAGTCATAATCTACATATACAGAAATATCGTGTATATTCATTTCGGTAAATAAAAATAATGGTATATATAAATGAAATTAAATCATTAATGACAAATAATAACGCCTTAAAAGTAGCTACCAATCGATTAACAGCATTAGAACCTATTTCTTGTAACATAATATACATATTTACACAATATTCCGAGTAGGCAGTGGAAATAAACAGCCGTCGTGCATTCTGCGAGAGCAATATTGGCGGGTGGGACTATCTACGAAACATGGTCCAGTTGCCGTTCTACCTCCAGAACTCAGCGCTACGCAGGGTCAAGACTGCTCAGCAAACTGCTGCTAGAAGAATGCAAGTCATCATGGCTGATGACTTCTCCACGTCGTTGCAGAGATCTGTAAGTGTTTTTGTTAGCGGATACAAAGTTAATGTCCTCGGTATTTTTTCCGGTTATTTGTGTGATGATAAATATTATTGTCACAATCCCCCTTATTACAAAACAAGATGTATCTTTAGTCCAGGTTTAAACCATTGAGTCGGGTTTTGAATTTTGAATCTTATTGTCATCTACCTTCAATTCGAAATACAAAAACTGGCTCAATGGTTTAGTCCTAGATTAAAGTAAAACCTTGTTTTGTAATAAGGCCGCCTATGTTTTTTCTTGTGCAATCAGTTCGTGATTCTTTTGTCCACCAAAATTTTCACAACGTTTATCAAAATGAGTAATGTAGTTTAAAATTAAAGTATTCTGCATGTTGATAGGCGATTCTGTTATATTCAGCACTGATTATATCTTCTAAACGAATGGTTTACGTCAAATAGAATTAAAATGTACATAAAACAATCACAAACATAAACATTTCCTCACACAACCAAGGTATCAGCACGTCGCCTCTCTTCAACATCAGAGCTCATGTCAAGTCAAGAACGTATCAAGGGTCAGGCAGCCCGGGAACGTCGGCTTCGTCCGTCGGAGTCTGTGGCCTCGTCCGTAGCGTCTGGGCTACACAGAGGCGCCACTGGCGGGGTGGGGGGCGCGGGGGCCGCTGACCTCAACAGGGTGCTATTGACTGATGACTACTTTAGTGATGTTAACCCAAGAAGCATGAGGCGGCTTATGAACGTTCTGTATGTTACGGGTAAGATCCTCATTTCAATTTTGATTCTCTATGAAATTTTTATCAATTCATGAAACCCTAAGCCAGCAAACGCTGGCATTTCCGCACCTGAAATTCTTCTACTGTGTCTCGAATTCCCACTATTTTTAAGTTAACAAGCTTGCTCCTACACTAAGACCTTGTTCTCAAGGGTCGTCAGTGAGTTTGTAAATAAACCAGTTATAACATCACCTAAATGTAAAACAACAATCTGTGGAGCACACAAATAGTTGTTCCGTGCGGGGATCAAAGCAGCCCAACTATGACAATATAGCCCATTTTCTTGTGTCATGGCTGCATTTACAAACATATCACATGATAATCACACCATAACTATCAATAAGATGTATTTTTCATCTACCATAGATTTTAAATCACGTTCATTATCATCATCAGCCTATAAGTGCCCACTGCTGAGCAAAGGCCTCTTCTCATACGGAGAAGATTAGAGCATTAATCACCACGCGATGTTTACGATATTTCACGATGTTTACCTTCACCGTATGCCAATGGTGTCTAAATAATCACAGAAAGTACATATAACGATGATAGTGCCACTATCCCGCTAAGCAATGAGGTAAAGGATCTGGGCCTGTATATTGACTGTACTTTGAAGTGGCATGCACAAGTTGCGAGCGTATGTAAGAGGGTCACTGGATCCTTACGGACACTGTATCGACTAAAGAATTTGCTTCCGTGTTCTACGAAAGCGATGCTGGTGCAGGCCTTGGTTTTTCCTATTATTGATTATGCTGATGTTTGTTACTACGACCTGAATGCTGATCTACTCAATAAACTTGACCGACTTCTTAACAACTGCATTCGATTCGTTTTCAACCTGCGTAAATATGATCATGTTTCTGCACATCGGTTGCAATTAAAGTGGTTGCCCATACGCCAGCGCAGGGAGCAAAGGGCGCTAACCACTCTGTTCTCTTTCCTTACCTCACCTTTTTCGCCTAGCTATCTATCGTCTTACTTTCAATACATGTGCGCAAACCACAGCAAGAACCTTCGTTCTTCCCATAACCGTCTTCTTCAATGTCCCACTCATCGTACTGATTTTCTCCACTTCTCCTTTTTCGTTCAGTCTATCTTGCTGTGGAATGCGCTCCCCCCTGATATCAGGATGGTGTCTAGTCGTTTGACTTTCAAACAAAAGGTTCGTGAGCTCTTGCTAAAAGGTTTGGCTGAATCGTGACCACCATATATATAGTATATTGTGACAGAAAACTCTTTGACATCATGACGTCAATGGATGGTTGTCAAACGTTGCCTAGAGATTGTAAATTTCGTCGTGAATTGTCAACACGAGTTGGTGTAATCGGTAAGGCGTGTGGATTACACCACAGAGACCCCGAGTTCGAGTCCCGCCGTAAACATGAAGTTTTTTAGTTGATGGAAGTTTTGTCGAACTTTCTGGAATATTTGAGTGAAAGTAATGAAAAATTAAGGAGCGAGAAGGAGAATAAATAAAAATGAATAACGAAATTATTGGAAGGTTCTGGAGGCATGACGATCAAAAAGAATAACGAAATTGAATGTTCTAGAACCTGACCAGGGGTATATAAGCGGAACTGCGGCTCACCGCTGGCAGTTGAGTTCTAAGTCTAAAGCGATTCGGAAGAAAAGGAAGAAGTGAAAAAGAAGAAAAGTGAGTGAAATAGTGAAGTGCAGTGAAATAGTGAAGTGCAGTCAGTTAAGTGAGTTAAGTCAGCGTGAACGGCAAAGTTGTGTCAGTCGGCCGGACTCTGCTGGAGAGGAACGCCGATAACTTAACTCCGTGGACGCTGTAACTTAAGTGCAATAGAAAGTCTGAAAACCGGTATTAGTGTTTCATTTCATCCAATCCCGTAACCCAAGCCCGCATAGTCAGGAACGTGACGAGGCACGTAACATTTGGTGTCAGAAGTGGGATTGGAGAAAAATGCCGCTAGTGCCGCAGGACGTAAGAGGAGTGAGTACCCGTTCAATGTCAGAAGCGCAGCGTGTGAGGGAAGAGGGTGCTGCAGCTCAAACCAGCGATGCAGAAGCCAAGCCTGTGCAAGTGGATCTTCTGCTACAGCTGCAGCACATGATGGCAGAGCAAGCGCGCCGCCAAGAAGAGCAAGCGCGCCGCCAAGAAGATCAAGCGCGCCGCCAAGAAGAGCAAGCGCGCTGTCAGGCAGAACAGCTGCGGGAGCTGAAAGAAGAGCAAGCGCGCCGCCAAGAAGAGCAAGCGCGCCGCCAAGAAGAGCAAGCACGCTGTCAGGCAGAACAGCTTCGGGAGCAAGCACGCTGTCAGGCAGAACAGCTTCGGGAGCAAGCACGCTGTCAGGCGGAACAGCTACGGGAGCTGAAAGAAGATGAAGCTCGCCGCCAAGAGGAGCAAGCGCGTCGCTTGGAAGAGATGCATAAGGATTTCACGAAGGGACTGCAAAAGGCTGTCGAACGGGTACAAGAAGTGGAGGAAGGGTTAGGCAAGTTGGAACATCGCGTCATGGCGATAGAGGAGAGAGTGGAAGAAGAGATCTCCAAAATCAAGCAGGAAGTGGCAAGCCCAAGCCCTTTGAAGAGCCGAAGCCGTCTTGCAGCCGCTTTTGACACCCCAAATGTGGCCTCAAGCGCAACGAAAGGGCTCAAGATTCCCCATTACGACGGAACAACATCCTGGACCGCGTTCAAGCTACAGTTTGAGACACTTATGGAGGCTTATGGTTGGACTCAGAAGGAAGCACAGTCAGCCCTCACCCTGGCCCTCCGTGATCAAGCGCTCTCAGTGCTGGAAGCTATCGGCGCAAGTGGGGATCTCAGCTTTAGTGCCCTCCTCGACGCACTTGAGGCACGTTTTGGAGACAGCCACCTCGAGCACGTGTACAGAGCGCAATTAAAAGAGCGTACTCAGCGTGCTAATGAGAGTCTACAGCAATGGTCCGTGGAAATCGAAAAACTTGTGCGTCGAGCTTTCCGGTCGACTCCGTCAATGATTGAAGGCACGCTTCTCCAAGCGTTCATTGACGGTATTCGGGACCCCGAAGTACGAGCTGCTGTTCATCTGGGCCATCACAAGAACATGAAAGAAGCTCTGGCCCATGCATTGGAAGTGGAAGCCGTGCGTGGCAACTCCCGTACCTTACGTCTGCGGGAAATGACGACAACGGAGCAGGTACCTCCACGCCGTCGGAATTTCATGTGCTATGGATGTGGAGAGCGTGGGCACATACGGAGCGACTGCTCGAAGAAGATGAACCGCCAGGACGCGGCGGTCTCAACTTCTGACCAGCAGGGAAACTTAAATCCAGCCAGGGCTGCGGGGTGGGCGTTGGCTGGTAATGGAACAATCCCAACAATCTACATCAAGCAAACCAACGATGGAAATACTCTGGTGATAGACGGTCAAGTAAATGGGAAAAACAGTCAGCTAACATTAGATACTGGAGCTTCAAGGACGGTGATGAATGTTCGGCTGCTCGAGCAAAACATCAGGAAACACCTTAAACCAATTGTTGGCCTACAAATGAAATCAGCTACCGGCCAGTGCATACCGATAAGTGGAAAACTGCATGCAACAATCAAAATTGGGGAACGTGTTTATCGACATGAGGTTATTGTGGCCAAAATTCTGGATGACTGCATCCTGGGACTTGACTTCCTGCAAGGGCACCAGTGTAACATCGACCTAAAATCTGGAGTTTTACTATGTGGAACTGAGGAAATTCCGATGAAGGGTGGAACCCTGGGAAAAGTTTGCTGTTTAAGAAGAACTGTTCTTGAACCAAAATCACAGACTCTCGTACCAATCGCATTACCTAGGAGGAGGGAAGGAAGTTTACCTCTAAGGTGCGCTGTGATTGATAAATCGGAACACGTAAACTCATGGCTACCGGCGAGAACTGTCGTGGGGTCATCTGATGTCAACCGCATTCCGGTATTCAACTTCAGTGATTCAAAAATTACGATTGAAGAAGGAGAGCCTGTGGGCGTATTGGAAGAAGTGGCCTGGATAAGAAAATGCTCGGAGAATCTTGTGAAGAAGGACAGTACGGGAATAGACTTTGTAACGAAAATCTTAGACGAAAACAAAAGTCTGACAAAAGTGGAGACTATGAAAGCTAGAAATTTACTTCTTCGATTCTCTGATGTGTTTTCAAGAAGCGATGGTGATATTGGCCGAACTGGTTTGGTGAAGCATAAAATAAACACAGGTGATACAATGCCAATTCGTCAAAGGCCCAGACGCATACCATTCGCTCGTGAGAAAGAGGTTGAAGAAATGATTGACGATATGAGGAAAAATGACGTGATAGAGCCCTCTTCTAGCCCTTGGTGTTCACCTGTCGTGCTTGTCAAGAAGAAAGATGGTTCAACGAGGTTTTGCGTAGACTATCGACGATTGAATGATGTAACCAAGAAGGATAGCTACCCGTTACCAAGAATCGATGACACACTTGACACACTGAGTGGCATGAAATGGTTTTCAACGCTCGATCTGAAAAGCGGCTATTGGCAGGTGGATTTGGATCCCAAGGACAAGGAAAAGACCGCATTCTCAACTGGGAAGGGACTCTGGCAATTTAAGGTGATGCCATTTGGATTATGCAATGCACCGGCAACCTTTGAGCGTTTGATGGAACAGGTGCTGGCGGGACTGCTGGGCGAAACCTGCCTAGTTTACCTCGATGACATCATCATTGTTGGACGGGATTTTGACGATCATCTAAGGAAATTGGAAAAGGTACTCGATAAGCTGCGTGGAGCAAATTTAAAGTTGAGTCCAAAGAAATGCTCTTTCTTCAAGCGCGAAGTGAATTATCTAGGACATGTTATTTCTGAGAGAGGAATTGAGACTGATCCAGCCAAGACTGCCGCTGTTAAGGAATGGCCGACACCTAAAGACAAAACGCAAGTTCGGGCATTTCTTGGATTGTGCTCGTATTATCGGCGGTTTGTGAAAGGATTCTCGGACATTGCCAAGCCTTTGCATCGATTGACAGAGGAGAAACGTGCCTTTATCTGGGACGAGGATTGTGAGCAAGCCTTTCGAGAACTAAAAGAACGGCTTTGTAACACACCAATTCTCGGATACCCCAGCGCGAAAGGAATATTCGTAGTTGATACGGATGCCAGCAATATTGGAATAGGAGGTGTCCTTTCACAACGCGATGGTGAGCTGGAGAAGGTTATTGCTTACTTCAGCAAGTCACTATCCAAGCCGGAGAAGAATTATTGCGTGACCAGGAGGGAATTGCTGGCCGTAGTCAAAACTCTGCACCATTTCAAGAAGTATTTACTGGGACGGAAATTTTTGATCAGAACTGATCACGCTGCTTTGAAATGGCTGCTTCAGTTTAAGGATCCCGAAGGCCAAGTAGCCAGATGGTTGGAACAACTTCAGGAATTTGACTTTGAAATCGAACATCGCGGCGGAAGAATTCATGGCAACGCAGATGCATTATCGAGACGCCCATGCGTGGAAGATTGCAAGCATTGTGCCAAGAAGGAAACTGCTTTTCTTAAGGTGATAAGGACTGATACTGTTGACGAGGCATAGGGAGACGATGCGATGAAATTAGAACAGGAAAGAGATGCAGATATCAAACCAATACTGGAGTGGCTACGAAGTGGTAACAAGCCAAGTTGGAGTGACGTCGCCCAATATAGCGCGGTAACGAAAGGTTTATGGGCACAGTGGAAAAGCCTTACGCTGCATAACGGACTTCTGTGCAGGAAATGGGAATCAACAAACGGCAAGGACGAGCATTTGCAATTGGTGGTGCCTCGTTCAAAAATAAGGGATGTATTAAAAGCGTTCCATGATGGATCTTCTGGAGGACATTTGGGAATTAGGAGGACATTGGTGAAGATCAAGGAGAGGTTTTATTGGTTGCATTGCAAATATGACGTCGAAGATTGGTGCCGGAAATGCACTAGTTGTGCAGCTGTCAAGGGTCCACAAACAAGAAGCAGAGGGGCGATGAAAATCTACAATGTTGGTATGCCTTGGGAGAGAATAGCCTTAGACATCGCTGGACCATTTCCAATCACTGATTCGGGCAATCGCTACGTTTTAGTGGTTATGGATTATTTTACAAAATGGCCGGAGGTCTTTGCCATACCGAATCAAGAGGCAGTAACTGTAGCCACGAAGTTGGTAAACGAGGTATTCACCCGATTCGGAGTGCCCTTGGAGATGCACAGTGATCAAGGACGGAACTTTGAATCCCAAGTTTTCCAGGAAACTTGTAAACTTTTGGGAATCCATAAGACTCGAACGACCCCTTATCATCCACAGTCAGATGGAATGGTCGAACGCTTCAACCAAACATTGGAGCGACACTTAGCAAAGGTGGTTGACAGCCATCAGAGAGATTGGGACACTTACATACCTCTCTTCTTGCTTGCCTATCGGACTGCTGTACATGAAAGTACCGCAAAGACGCCTGCATTTGCAAATTTTGGAAGGGAATTGAGATTACCGGCAGATCTTGTATCGGGCTGTCCACCTGGTGACTCTCGCACCGGGTTTAGCGATTACATAAGCGAGTTAAGGGCAAAAATGTTGGACATTTATGAGCAGATCAGGGAGGCCGGTCTTCAAGCTAGTGATCGCGCAAAGACGCGCTATGATCGACGAGCCAATTCTGTTGGGTTTGAAGAGGGGTCATTGGTCTGGCTTCATAATCCAGTCAGAAGGAAGGGAAAATCTCCAAAGCTGCAACCGAGTTGGGAAGGTCCTTACGAGATAGTCACGAAGATCAATGACATTACTTACAGAATTCGGAAGTCTTCAAGGAGCCCTTTGAAAGTTGTCCATATAGACAGGTTGGCGAGATATTACGGCAGCAACGATGCTCGGGACGAGCGAATCTAAGAGGGGGGCAGTGTGACAGAAAACTCTTTGACATCATGACGTCAATGGATGGTTGTCAAACGTTGCCTAGAGATTGTAAATTTCGTCGTGAATTGTCAACACGAGTTGGTGTAATCGGTAAGGCGTGTGGATTACACCACAGAGACCCCGAGTTCGAGTCCCGCCGTAAACATGAAGTTTTTTAGTTGATGGAAGTTTTGTCGAACTTTCTGGAATATTTGAGTGAAAGTAATGAAAAATTAAGGAGCGAGAAGGAGAATAAATAAAAATGAATAACGAAATTATTGGAAGGTTCTGGAGGCATGACGATCAAAAAGAATAACGAAATTGAATGTTCTAGAACCTGACCAGGGGTATATAAGCGGAACTGCGGCTCACCGCTGGCAGTTGAGTTCTAAGTCTAAAGCGATTCGGAAGAAAAGGAAGAAGTGAAAAAGAAGAAAAGTGAGTGAAATAGTGAAGTGCAGTGAAATAGTGAAGTGCAGTCAGTTAAGTGAGTTAAGTCAGCGTGAACGGCAAAGTTGTGTCAGTCGGCCGGACTCTGCTGGAGAGGAACGCCGATAACTTAACTCCGTGGACGCTGTAACTTAAGTGCAATAGAAAGTCTGAAAACCGGTATTAGTGTTTCATTTCATCCAATCCCGTAACCCAAGCCCGCATAGTCAGGAACGTGACGAGGCACGTAACAATATTATAATAAGTATAAGTATATATTATATATGTATATGTTATTTATAAATATATTATGTAATTTGAGTACTTAGTTTATATATATATTATATTGTAACTTGTATGTAAATATTTGCACATATATATGTATCTATCTCGTCTTCACTCATTTAAATTTAAGTCTGTTTGCTTGCTTCTTGCACCGACCATTGGCTCATCTCTGCATCACCCAAGGCTCGACTGGTAGAAAATGCCTAAGGCATTAAGTCCGCCTATGTACCCATTGTGCATGAAGTTTTAATAAATAAATAAATAACTCGGAAAAAGTCACATTGGTACTTGACAGATTTCGGACCCACACCCTCATGCATGAGAAGCGGGCTCCTTAACCTCTGCACCACCATGACATTTATAATACCATAGATTTTAAATCAGGTTGAAATTTCTTATTATTTTAGACAATTTGTCTTGCTGCATACTTCCATATCGTTCGCTTTATTTTGAAGACATCTTGCCATAGCAATTTAGCCCTGACGAACAAAATATGAATCCGTATTAAGTACACCTCTTTCCCCTCAGGTCGTCTTCTAAAGGCCTTCCAAATAGAGTTCAACTGGTACCAGTTGGCGTCGTGGGTGAACCTTACGGAGCAATGGCCGTTCCGTACCTCCTGGATCATCTACCACCACGAGACTTATGAAGAACACATTGACGATTCCACCTCACTCAAACATATTTATGAAAAGTAAGTTCCAATTATCTTTAGTATAATAGATAGGGGATAAAAGTAGCCAACTCTTTTTATCTTGGTCTTCGATCACACAAGCACCCAGCTCCAGGCTTTTTCAAAATAGCCTCGAAAAAGGACAGATAATTAATTATGATAAGTCGCGTAAATAAAACTTTCAAAACCTGATTCCAGCATACCTCAATGGTTTTTAGTCAGTAAAGTCTGACACTCTCTCTCGCACTGGGCGGGAGAAGTTATTTGATGATTTTCCCCTGACAAAAAAAGCATACCTCAATGTTAGTTTTTTATTAATTTAACCGGATCCAATAATTTCTTGTTTAGCTTCGATTGCAGAACATCATAAAAGACTTTGTAGCGTATAGGCCCTCACATGGCCAGAACTCCGTTATATCTTCTATTTTCTAAAAAATAGCTATGCCCTGCGATTTCACTGATAGTGTAGCTTTTCAGCAGTGAAAGGTTTTTTCAAATCGGTTAATAAGTTTCAGAGCTCAGTATTCAATGCAAACAAACAAGTATCTTTATAATGTTACTACAAATAATAAGTTTTAAAATAACTCCCTTTTCTGTTAACCAGAGTAAAACCTCTAATGAGTGGACTTCGCGAGGCCAGCACGTTGATGGAGCTCGACCGTGACGAGCGCAAACTGGAAGTATTTCTCAGCTTTCACCGCGCCACGCTCACTGCCGCAGATCTCAAGATATTCCTACCCTTCACCATTAACCTGGATCCTTACATCAAGAAGCTTATCAAAGGTAAATCATTCTTCAACCAAAGTAAATATAAGACCTTCACGTCTCGTGGATGAAGAAAGAGAGAGAGATTAATATAGACAGGTATAGAGGCGACGGAGTTTTTAGTTAGTAAGAGTCTGACAATTCCTCACTTTGGGTGGAGGAACCATTTGTTTGATTCCATTATTCAACAGTGAATGTACACGACTTGGCTCATGATTATGACTTAAAGTTTATTTTTATGACGATGAAAAAATGTCCAAACTTATTATAAAATAATAATATTAAATTGCCAACTCAACAGTAAAATCAGTCTTTCTTCGTGTGAAAAGAGTGGTTTTTGCAAGACAGTAATAGGCCAAATTAATATGATTTTTTAATGAATAAGCTTCATAAGTATATAGTTTTTTTAATTTTCTCGTATTCATATTACAGAAGAACAAATGCAAAGTGGAGTGGAAGAAGACGCGGGCGCGGGGGGCGCGGCCGCCGGGCTCGCCTGGGGACAACCACACACCAGGCAGCCACATTCCAAACTGTTCCCTAGGAAACACGTAAGACAGTTCATATTCATTTAAATACTAATTGTACTAACGCGTATCCAGTGCCGTTAATAATACTTTCTAACAAACCAGAAAAATAATTTCATATTTTTTTCTGCTACGAAAACGCTCGGCTTTGACCAACGAAAAGCGTAATATACTTAATATTGATCTTAAATGTAGTAATCTAGATTCTGGGTTCTTCTTTTATATCATAAGTCGGCAAACGAGCTGATTACCTGATAACCAATCAGCGCCGCTTTGGTTACTAGAGAAGCTCTCGCTTGTGACTCATTAGGGATTTAAGGATAGGGGATTTGAGGATTGAGGTTGGGGGAGGGAAGGATTGGGCCTCCGGTAACCAGTCGGTAAAAACAACGTAAGTGTTGCTTCACGCCGGTTTTCTGTGAGGCCGTGGTATCACTCCGGTCGACCGACCCATCTGTGCCGAAGTACGGCTCTCCCACGCTTGTTATTTATATTAAATATTCTTCCTGATTAAATGTTGTAAAAGTTAAAGACTAGTTCAATCTGTTTCTTACCAAATGTTCTATTTTAATCTAACTCGTTCATATCATTTAAAAACGAGGTCAATATCAACTAAATATAACTAACACGTAATTATCTGTTCTAAACACGTGATACTGCTATGCTGTAGTGATTTGTTTAAAATGTTTATTCGTCGAAATATTACTTTTAAATTTTAATCTACGTTGCTTCATTAGATTAACTTACATTCATTATCATTCATACATTCTTCAGCACTCCCTAGTGCTAATGTAATAGTTGGGTTTTTGGACCCTTCCAAAAACCCAAATGACACCTTAATTATGAAGTTTTTCGCCGAATACTTGAAATAAAATCTGCTTTCAACCCAACTTAACAAGCACTTATGTTTATGTGCAAATAAGAGTCAAAAATAATAATAAATAATATATAATTTTGTAAATGTTGTAGCGTTCGTCTCCGCCGACACAGCCGGCGGCGCCGGGACCTGTACCTGCTCAGCAGATGTGGGTGGGCTGGGCCAACACTAGCGGCGGGTTCGTGCCCCAGGCCATCAACTCGCAGCCGTTCCCGGCCCCACACTACCAACAACCCCCACCACAGGCACCGGCCCAACAACAGCCTTCACAGCAACCTTCACAGAATCCCTTCCAGTTGCTTAAAACTGCGTTCCCCGGTTTGGTTAGTACTTATTTTAATTCAATATACTTGTATTAAGCTATACTACAAAATTCTATATAATATTGTACTTAAATTTTAAGATTTCAGTTCAGTATTACATGGACAACTTTTGTGTTCGATCTATTGAGATTTTATTCATGATAAGCCGAATCTTCGCAATATCACGATAATGTTTCTCTAGCATTAGTAAAGTTTCTATTTATTTGTTTTAAATAGATACCAAATTCTCTTTCTCTTGTTGATGAAATGTTTAAAGTTATCTCAAGTATCAGCTTTTTTATCATTACGGTTATAAAAGAAATATTCTCCGAGTGTAACTTGACAACATAGAGCTAAGAAACATAATTTTTTTGTCATAGAAATGTGCAAATTGTGGTGTGAATAAAATAAGTATCAATTCTCCCATAGCGGGTCTGCTGGAAGAGATTTCAGAAGCAATAAGCTGTGCCTTTGTACCTTATTGTTATATTATCATTACACATATATACATAAAGTATTAGATAAATAATAATGTGTGTACGTGTACAGTCGGACGTGTCGAACATCCGCCTGTCGTCGCTGAGCGTGGAGCGCGTGTGTGCGTTGTCCCGCGCGGCGCTGGGCGCGGCGGGCGAGCAGTGCGCGGCGCGCCTCGCGCGGCACAACGTCTGCGGCCTCGTGCTCGCCGTCTGCAGGCTGCACGATCTACAGCCGGTACCAGAATACCCTTGCTATACGTCATAACTAGCTATAATAACCTACCTAGTTACCAATGTTACCATACTCGACCTACCCTTCTTTGCCTACCCTACCCTACCTACTAGCTTGCCTTCTTTTATCATTTATTCTTCTTCCGACTCTAAACCCTCAAATCACATCAAAAACAATCAACAACATCCCCACCAATTCCCAAAGAAAAAAGCTCAGCTATTATTGAGCGTAAATATTAATCTAGTTTCTAGTCGATTAATATCCATAATATCATATCATACTAAAACTGTAATAAAAACTATATAAAATCTTGAAAGATTATTCCAACTAGCGCATTCACTTACGCCCGGTTCCTATAATTGACAAACGATCCGTTTTAGTAACGAATAGTAGTTTTATATACGACTCGTAAGCTAAAACCGTTCCTATAAACAACGTCTCGTCGTGCAACTTACTGACGGCTTGCAACTAACGGATGGGAGGGTATCGGTAAGCGTATTGTATGGAGATGACAGTCTATGGTGTTCCTATAAATATTTTAACCGTCGGTAGACGGTCAAGATGACTATTCGTAATGTCATTTGGTTACGTGCCGATGTCGGTCAGTTAGAGTAGAATTTTTAAAGTAAGTTTACTGATTTCGCTTTTAAATCTTAAAATGTCGAGTTCAGATAGTGATAAAGAAGCATTTGATATTTTAACAAACTCCAGTAGAACTGATTCAGAAGAAGATAATAATATAGGTAACAAAATATAATCAAGAAAGAGTGGATTATTCAGCGTTGCTGGATGCTTACGAATATCAAGTAAGATTTCGACTCGATAAATAATCATCTGAGCAGTTACTTTATAATTTAATTATTAATCTGCAGCAAGAAAATAAATTACCAACTTATTTGGTTTTAGATGTTTTTTTTTTGTGAGGGGAAAATCATCAAATGACTTCTCCCGCCCAGGGCCGGGCAGTGTCAGACTCTTACTGACTAAAAACCCCCCTGTCCTTCTCCTGCTCTGGGCCGAGGTCGCGGTGCCTCATTGCGCTTACCCCGCAACCCCGGCTGAACATCAGCCCTTTCGGGCCCCGTCTGTGGTGGTCTATTGGCTCTACGCTAACGCTACGTGCCGTACCGCTCGGGCCTGGTTCTGGTCGGGCGGCGAGCTGCCCTTACTCGCCGACCGCAGGCCCGTGCTTACGGTGGCCGGAGATAGTCCCTTGATCCCCGACGCCCGTAGTGTCGCCAGTTGCGGCTGCTGGGGCGTGAGGAGGAGGATTGCTCCCTCACGCGGGCCGCCTCTCTCTTTGCGAGCATGACTGCTTCACAAAAGGAGGAGACGGCGTCCCAGTTCCTCTCACTCCGCACCATGGCCTCGACTAAGGCCGGGCGCGAGAGGTCGCCGCCGCCGATCACTTCCCTGAAGACACGGCGGTGCTCAGCCAAGGCAGGGCAAACCGCCACTGTATGCTCCACCGTTATCCTCTAGGTGGGTTTTAGATGTTTTGAAGTGTGAAAACAGCGATTTCCTTTGGTGGCTCTTACGAGCTCATGCTGTTATACCTAATCGTTACAGAAGTGCTCCATAACATTCGTTGTTCGTGACAAGTAATGTTGATAAAATGAAAAATTCTACGGAAAGATACACAATGATTGCAGAATATTTACCTATGTAACCACATTATCATCCAATGATGTATTAGTAGGTAGAACATGTACAACAAGAAGAAGAAACCTTCTCCTTATTTGTTTATTGTCGTTACTTCAAAGGTCTTTATATTTTTCAGTTTACACTAATGGATGATGATATCAAGATAAAGAGCAATAATGAACTGATTAATATTAGTTCTCTAATAAATGTTATGAAAAATAATAAAACGAAAAAAACATAAATGTTTTATTTTACAACTGTTTGAAACATCTCAAATAGCACAAAACACCAAACCATTTCAATGCATCCATACCATTTAAATAAATAAGACATTTATTCAAACTACAAACTAAATATTATTATTACAGTCATTATTTTCCTTATTGACTCCTATTTCACCATCTTAAGCTTAATGTCTAATTTTTCTGTCGTTTTATCATAGTATCTTGCGATTGAAAAAATAACGTTGGAGCCGTCCGTAACCTGGTTCATTTTAATCTTATTGGCTGTAATAAAAAAAGCTCATTAGCACATGTTTTGATGTTACAGTAATTCCATATAAAATGAAAAGACAAAAGGTATCCAACTAAATATGTATGTATAAGTCACATAATAATTATGCAATTATATTTTTACTTACATAATTGGAAGTTGGACCTTTGTATGGGAGACACATAAACACTGTTAAAATAGAATTATTTTTACCTTTGCTTTGTTGCAGAAGCTTAGACATAGAGGTCATTCTATGTTTGTTTAAATGTGTTTTGCACTTTGTTGGCACAATATCCATTTCAAACAGTGACTTCTATATAAGTCAGTTTCAAACGATGTCGTAGGCAATAACAAACACGTATCTTGTTATCAGTAAATTATAAATTGTAGATGAATCGAGATTGATTATTTGAAAATACTTAGTCGGGTCATAAGTTCTGTCACAAACTTTTGATGTAATAACTTATACGCCTTTTGACAATTATTTAAAAATTATATATGAAATGAAAGGTCATTAAATGTACAATATAATTTTATTTACATTATTCGAAATGCCCTCCCCCATTTTGAACACATGCCCTTAATCTACGCGGCCAGTCATCGATCGCTGCACGCACCACATTCATATCTATGTCTGCCGCTGCTTTAACCAGAGATGCTCGGAGAGACTCCAAATTCGGGTGAGGTTTAGCACAGACTTTTTCCTCCAAATATTGCCATATCTTGTAGTCCAGTGGGTTTAAATCTGGACTAGAAGAGGGCCAGTCTTCATGCCGGATGAAGTCAATTCCACGAGCGATCAACCAGTCTTGCGTACTTCGTGCCTTATGAGCCGGTGCAGAGTCCTGTTGGAATATCCAATGCCTGTTCCTGAACATTGTCTGAGAAAGAGGTTCCACTATGTTTGTTAGGACAGTATTTTGATAAACTTCGGCACTAGTTCTCACACCTTTTTCACAGAAAAACACCTCAGTTACGCCTGAATATGAGACTCCAAGCCAAACCATGAATGAGGAAGGGTAATGCCCACGCTGGACCCTCGCAATACGCGCGCTTGCTTCTTCACTGCTGTGGGCATACACCTTATCATTTTGTTTGTTAAAACTTTCTTCAATAGTAAAAATTTTTTCATCCGAAAAAAGAATTTCGCGGTATTTTTTTCCCGCGTACCGTCGTAGCAAAGCGCGGGATCTGTCTAGCCTAATTTTTTTTAAACGCTCGTTCAAAAAATGTCCTGTCTTTTTACGATAAGCTCGTAGTCCCAGGTCTTCATTTAGTACTCTTTTAACAGTGGTTCTGCTTAGCCCCATCTGCAGAGCTAGGATTTTTTGTTTACGTACGGGATTTCGTTCGATTCGCGCCTTCACTGCTTTGATGACCTTATGTGTCCGAACTGTGCGAGGTCGGCCGCTTCTCTTACGATCTTCGAAGCTTGACTCTTCGGTGTATCGTTTGATAGTACGATAAACAAACCGTAACGTTATTTTCAAATTTTGAAGAATATTGAAAATGTCTTTTGGCGCGTAACCACAGCGGTGCAACGCGATAACCGCGATTCTGTCTTCTTTATTCGACCACTCCATATTTAAAAATGAATAAAAAATAATTTCTTTTTTATTTTCTACAAGCGCGAAAGTTCTATTTTTAAAATAAGTCGAAGAATTTCTGGCCAGTAATCGAAAATTAAAAATATAAGGTTTTGACAGAACTTATGACCCGACTAAGTATATATTTGTTTAACGGATGTCAAACGTCAGTGCCAAAGCTCTTGACTATTACAACGTTCCATTTCTATGGTGTTAGCTGCATTTAGTTTGTTTGGTAATGGAAAAATAATCCCACAGATGCCTGCGATGGCATAGTTTTAGTAAATAAAACTTAAAGTTTAATTTTTATGTAAATTTGATATTATTTTATAGTGAATTGTGTGTTATCTTTAATTTCAATTCTACTTATAACGAAACGGTCATCTGACAATGAAGAGGACTCGGTATTTCAATGACTAACGGACGTTCGTAAAGAAAATGATTATAGGAACGGTATCTACGATTCGTATTCGGTAGTTGAAAAACGGATAGTAATGCGTATACAACGACGGTTCGTTAAATATAGGAACCGGGCATTAGAAAATACCCAACATTCAGCAGTGAACTTTCACGATAATATTTCTGTTGAACTGCTAATATGACAGCCCAATAATACTGATGAAAATAAAATACACAGTGAATGATTCTCAATTATTTTCATACTTTATATAAAAAATTGTAGGTATTCACAATGTCTGTAAGCAACTCATATTAGCAGGTATACACTAGCCATTCAAATAAAAACCACTTACACCATAAAACTTAAACTAAACTTTGTTTACAGATTCTAGAACTGTCATTTGGTGATTGGGAACTATTCAAACTGCTTATTATAAATCTGCGTGAATTGGAAGCAAACATGCCGACAACAGTACCTACGGTAGCAGGTACAATCTTTATTACTATTTTTTTTTTATGTGATAAGTCGGCAAACGAGCAAACGGATTACCTGATGGTAAGCAATCAGTGTCGCCCATGGACACCCGCAACGACGGAGGAGTTACGAGTGCCTTTTAGGGATTAGGGATTTGGAGATTTTGGGAAAGGGAACGGATTGGGGTAGGGGAATGATTGGGCCTCCGGTAACCTCACTCACACGGCGAAACACAACACTTTGGTTATTTCACGCCGGTTTTCTGTGGTTTTCTGTGTGGTCGAGCCGACCCATTCGAGCCGAAGCATGGCTCTCCCACACTTAACTTATTATAGTGCAGTACTATTTATAAATTGTAGAAACAATTATAAAATCATCAAGGAATTGTTAAACTGATTGAAAAGAGTAACCATGGAGTTCGTTCGTGCTCGTTTTTCTACATACGTGTGTAAAGTGTAGATTACACTTTGAAACAAGCAAATAGAGTCACAAGAGGAGGTCTAATAGGACAGACAGAAACACTGACACACAAAATTTATCTTTTTTATATTTACTTTTTTGTTTGACGATCAAAAGTGCGTTTAGTGATCGATTTGAAATAAATGATTTCACTTATTACTGAAGAAGAAAAATAAATCCAATGATGAAACAAAAATAAAATCGAGAAATCATTATAATTAATATTTTTCATAGTAACTCCTTCCTTAACCTTATTAGAATATTTTGAACTTTTAACATTAAAGCTTGCTTGATTTTTGGTTTCAGTAATGTCAGAAAAATCGGCAGAAGCAGAAATCGATGCTGCGAAGCCCCCAAGACATACACTAGAGACACAACGCAGCCGACCTTCAAATGTTGAGAAACAGGTATGTACATTGTACACTGCATATTAAATATATTTATTCATGCTGTGTCCTTTTTCCGGCTAAGATATTAAGTCGAAAACAAACAGTACATGTTAGTTTGTAGATAAGGAATGGAGGAAATATCAATATTAACTATTCTTTATCAATGTTATTTGCTATTTGCACAATTCTTTCATCGATATTTTTAGGAATTTAACATATACATATACGTACGGGGCATTTCAACTAATGAAAGATATAAACGTGTTGAAAATTCAATTTTTCTTTAGTGTTATCTCTTCTTCTGGTGCCCCTTTTTTACGGCAGATAAAATAGCTATTTTATATATAACAGTTAAAATAAATAGTATTGTCTCATGTGAAGTAATAATTTCAAGAGGTTTACTAGATTTCTTCTACAAGCTTTGGGCCTTTTTACATAATGTCTGTGTAGTCACTATGTACCAGATTAAATTTAAATACAGAAATATATTTTTTATGGAATATTTGCCACATAGATAGTTTATCGTTTTATTTAAGAATATGAAAAATGCTTGACTAAAACATGTACCTGCCAGCAATAATCGACAGCTCTACATACTTCCTTATTGTAGATCTCATCTACGTAAAAAGGTCATCTATATCTGAACGCCGTGCTTTTTAATGCGGAGAAAATCATCAAATGACTTCATCCATCCTGGGTGTTCAGAGTGTCAGACTATTACCGACTAAAAACCAACCCGAGATTCTCCTGCTCCGGGCCGAGGCCGCGATAAATTTTTGCGTTTACACCCCCAACCCCGACTGGATACGCTAGTGCTTACATAGACTAATTTTATAAGTAGTAACATTCAATTTCCCTAGCTAGATATTAATTATTCATATATTTTACAGCCCTACGCGGAGTATCAGGTGATTATATTATTGAAATACCACGCAATATGTAGATCTCATTTTGAGCACTATCATTTTTATACCCATTATATTTTTTCTATCATACAACTCTAGAGCATATGGAATCAACGTATTTTCCCGGCACTGAAAAGTATAACAGTAGTGTATAGGTACTCAATGTACTGTAGATGCTTTATGTTAAGAGTCATAACAAATGTATGTCTATGCCTATCTTCCTCAAAGGGGTCTAATGCTTAGGCCCCTAGGAGACGCATATGTGTGGCAAAATTACATGACAGCAAAGAAAACTTTGCATAGAGTCAACTTTAAAAAAACATGAATTTTCATAAATACTAAACAAAAAAAAATCGTTTCTTTTACTTGTAAATGTTAAATTTGTATTTTAATACCCCAGATTTATGTAATCTTGACATAGTAATTTACGTATCTGCATAATGATATCTGTGATTTGGTATGCCTTGTCTTGGTACCTTTAGATGTCATGTTTAGATTTACCCTTTATTAGCAAATTTATATTAAGCATGCATTATGTAATTTTATTACATTGTTAGTTTTAATATAAATATCGTGGAAGTAGTAAATAAAATCATTTAGTAGAATGTTTTTTTATTAATAATCATTGTTCGTTTGGCGACAGGTAACTCTGGAGGAGCAAATGATCTGCGGCGCGCTACAAACACTAAACGAGGAGGCCCTTGAGGACGTGCTGCAATCGGAGCCCCCCTCCCACCCAGGTGAGCCCCTCCGCACCATCCGCGAGTACCCGCCCCCCTCTCCGTCCCCCGGGGACTCCGCCCTTCCCCTCCCTCCCGCACCCGCTGACGAGGCAGAAACACGGCGCGACCACGTCGTCGTCAACTTCACCGATGATGTATTCCTGTAAGCTCCACACAAGCTGAGCTTGCATCCAGCGCGGAGTTAACCGGTTCTTGCCTTACGCCACCAGTAAGAAAGTACCCGATGGTAGATAAGCAACGCGTATGTGAAGACAACCCTGTACTCATACACCGCGAAATGAGTGCTCGTCCATTCTTCAAGCATACTCGCTGCTATGGCATTTAAACGTGTGCCAAAGTAATGATAATTATTTATTCAATTTTATAATTATTTACTTATATTTATTTTGTTAGCTAAATAAGCCTGAGCCACATTTGCTTCGCAATACACAATGGCTTTCCAAATAATCATTTAAGCAGGATTGCTTTGTTAATGTAATAAATTGATATTACTCTATACCTAATGTTTATTCACATGAAACATAGAAAAGACAATTGGCGTTGTGATTTTAGTAATAGATTGCTCTAAGCTATTGAAAGTCGAATAAGAAATATGCATCTAACTCATAAGACTCAAATAATTTAGTTTTATTGTTCCTGTAATGTTTACTATGCATATTTCCTGTTTAATTGTATTAGAAAAAGTATTACAGTATTATTTGATATCGATGTATTAGCATTAATTTATTTGGTCGTAATTTGGCTCCTTGTTTAAGCTGTAGAACTATCTAGATAATAATATTAATTACCTGTCAAAAATTTGAAATTATATACTAAGTGTCTATGCAAATTCTTTTTTTTTTAATCGCAAGGAATTTTGTGAGAAATCGATGAATGTTGTGGAATATCGTTTGGGATTACGAATTCGTTAGTAGTTCTACAGTTTATGCAAATAGTGTAATTACTTATATGTATGCTACTCCAAAGCGGATTGTTTGTTAGAATTGGCTACTTTTTAATTCAGCATTCCAGTAAATGTTGCCATTTTATGTTAGTAATGTAGGCTGTGCCCTTATACTTATTTTTTATTCATTGTACTTATTCCATACGTAGGTCTAAGAAGCTTGAATATTTTAGAATCAAGTGACTACGACAATTGTTTGATTTTAAAATATGTTTGAATGAAACATATCCTGTGCCATCGATATTATTTTCGTTTTATTATACAGACCAGAATTCCAATTATTTTTTAATGTCTACAATTTCCATGTTAAACGTCAATGATTAATAATAAATTTAAGTTTGATTTAAGATTTCACTGAAAGTAGATTAATTGTTTTGATTGTATTGAGAATCTTTTTTATAAGATTATTGTTGTCATTTTTAGAATATCTTTAGTGTAGGAGTTTACAGACAATTACTGAGTAGATAGGATATTGATCAATCTATGTAATTAAGGATGTTTCGATTGTGATATTAAATTTTGGTCACGGACGGTCCTCTTAGCTATATTTCTAGACCTGTTGTATCATTCCTTCCTTCAGGCAAACATTTCCACTATTAAGGATAAATAAATATACAATAGTTACAGACCGTAGTTTGATTTTGGCCCCTCGTTACTTTCTAGGCAGTACCGCAAGCTACTCGAAATTGAACGGGTCGACCGCAGAGTAGGTATTTCAAGCTAGCGCAATGCGCCGTATCTCCTGTCCTTTACCGACCTCGATCCTATACTTTTTCTTTGAACCTTAGCATTTAATAGTTTAGTCTTCTCCGGCTTAATACATGAAAGCCTATGTTTCAGACGAGGAGAGCGTCCTCCAGCTTCGCGTGGGCGCGTCCTCCGTGTGTGGCACCCCGGCCGGCAGCCCGCGCCCCCTGCGGCGCGACCCCTCCATCCTCAAGGGGGGCGGCTCCTTCCGCGCGCGCCGCGTCACCGGCGAGCCCCCCGCCGTCACCTTCAACGTCGAGCACGAGGACGACTCCGACTCCGACGGACAGATCACGTTCAGCGCGCGCCCCCGCATCGCGCGGTTCGACGACGTACCGCGCCGCGCTGCCCCCGCGCCCCGCTCGCGGCCCTCTTCCTTGCTGGTAGCGCCCGAGGACGCAGTCGACGTGGCAAGCCTGGCCGCACGCTCGCTCTCGGTAGAGGATTCCACGCGCACTGGTTCGCCCATCGTCGACCTTAAGCTGCGCGGCCTGCGCCGGACCGCAGAGATACTGCGCAAGGTCAGCTCGGCAGAACGTTTGTCGCGCCTCAGAGATAAGATCATGTCACGCGGTGGGGGCTCGCGAGAGCGCAGCCCAGCCCGCGACGAGCCTAGTGACGACGAGTCTGCCCCCCTCGTGTCACCGGGCTGTGTTCCGGTCCCAATCCCTGCTGCCGTAGGGTCACCCGGCCCGCCCTCGGAGGCGTCCACGCTGGCGGGGGCGGCGGACAACGGTAGCGCGTCTCTGTCGCCGCGCTCCGACGTGACAGAGCTGGAGTCGCCCCGCGACGTGGGCGCCGCATTCGACTTGCTGCCGGGCGACAAGAGGGCGGACGACCGCGCGACGCGACCCGCGGCGCGGCTGGATCACGCGGGCAGCAGCGCGTCGCTGGGCGACATGGTGGAGCCGTACAACATGCGTCTGCTGGGCGAGGCGGGGCGCGGGCTGTGGCGCCAGGACGCGCTGGACGCGGGCCCGCCGTGGCCGTGGGACGAGCCCGACTCGGCCGTGTGACGCGGCGCCGCGGGGGTCGCTGCCCGGCAACTACTCGAGCGCACGGCTGCCTAGCCGGACTCGGCTCCGCGTCGACAGTAGGCCGAGATATGTTAAGCCGAAGATAGCAATTTTTATTTGCGGTAGAAAGCTATGTTTTTATTGCTCTCGGTTTGCTGTACTTAAACCTTAGATAGAATCCAATTTTTAAGACGATGGAAAACAAATTCATGCTTTTTCCACGTAGCATAATCAATTATCACTGTAATTTTAGGAGTACCTTTGCAGAATGAAGACAATTTACTTTGACAGAATTGTAATGCATTTATAATGATTGACCCAGTATTGTGATATAAATATATAACCTTAAGTGTATCGATTATTTGACTGTAATGTGTGATCAGTAGTTATACTTTCACAACATACATCTGATTTTGTGTTACCCGCGTCTGCAGAATGTTGAATAAAACACAGATTCGCTATCGAAGTTATTTACCTTTTACATCTAGTACCACTTTTACAGAAACAAACGTGTGTATGTCACATGTATAATACTTTATTCGTTTACAATATCAGATATTGGCGAGTAATCACATCGTAAAAATTTACAATCGTATGTATTTTTGCTCCCTTACATTTGCATCATTTATCGAAATACATAATAAGTTACCTCATAGAGAGCATTGCCTCATATTTGAAATATTCAAAAACTAATGAAATACAACGTTTATTCGAAATATTAAGTGTTTACTACAATGCAACTACGAAAACGAATGTGTTTAAAGAGATCACAAACTATGTATAAAAGCCCAGCGCAGCTGGTATCTACAGTTGCCAACATAATATATTACATTAATATACATTATTAAACTTACATACGAACGGAAGCGCAAATAAAACTACTGAACATAATCTCGTCACATAAGTAGCCTCGATATAGAAATATGCATATTTCATGTTAAATCCAAATTACTGGTCTGTTTGTAAGTATTATCTACTATTAACTAAAGAAAATTCAATTAGTTAAATCAGCATTTTATTTTCTTAACACCTAAAATCTAATACAAATTAAATAGGAATGTCGATAAAAAAGAGCACCAATAAATAAAAAAAATAAAGATATTACAACAGGCCAGAACAATATTGACATAGAGTACATTTTATATTTCTCACTAATTGCAGTGAACATGACTAATATACAATGAGAGACTTTCAGTGTAGCCTATTTTTTTCGCAAGATTTCCACTAACACCAGAAACACATTATCATATCCTAAATAGCAATCTTTATCACAAATCTATTAGTATTCCTAGTGAAGTGTAATTAGTGATGTCTTAGAACACATGTTATTATGTACATTTAAATAATTATTTGATTAATATTATTGTTTTACTCGATTGTAAAAAATCCTAATGAGCCAACTAGAAAGATTCAATGACGTTATATAACAAGATTCTAAATGACACAGATGACTATATGACCTGTATTTTGTTGAGATTGATGGTGGTGTCGTCTATGGACTTGTCGGGTGGGTCCGGGCTGTCTGGTCGTAGCTGTGTTCTGTTGTCTCGCTCGAGGTCGGTGTCGGCCTCCTCTGCATCGGAGCTGGCGCGCTCGTCTGCCGGCAGCAGCTCGGGCCCTGTGGGCAGCTCAGCCAACTCGGGCTCCGCCGCCGCGTCCGCGGGCGCGGGCGCTGTCAGCGCACTCCACCAGCCCGACAGAGCGCCGCGGGCCTGCGACAGCGCGCCGCCCACGGCACGTGACGTGGTGGCCACGGCGCGCCCTGTACTGGCTACCGCAGCGCTTACCTTCCTGCCACCCTCCGTCGTAGACATTGTGCTGTACACATACAAAACGTATACATTAAATCACTACTTTAAGAAAGGAACGAAATTTTATGATTACAGCAAATAAGTCAAGTAGTAAACTTACTGAGCAAACTTTAACTTCATATCAGCCACAGATAGTTGTCCAGAAAATGGGTGCATGGGCATAAGATTGATAAAGGATTCTATATCTCCGATGTTCGTAGCTATCAACCATTGTTGATATGCAGGAGTTGACTTGAAGGCCGTCATAAATTGAGAATTATACGAATCAATCTCTCGACTGCCTTCTGCAATGAAGAAACAGTTCATTATTAATAAACACCTAAAAACAAGAATAAAGAAAAATATAAAAAATATTGTGATGTGTGTTACCTGGTAGTAAAGAGGTCCTTAGTAAGTAAATTAAGTAACTTGCAAACTGCTCTCTTATCCACGCATCGCCTTGAGTCGGGCCATGCCGCACCACATGGTCAGCAAATCTAAGATCTTCAGTACCGAGAGCCAACTGTCTCCGAAGCATCATATCAGAGGTCTCTATCCTCATTTCATTTAGCTCTACTAAGACATCAAACAATTGCCTTTTTTGTTTAAACAAAACATTTGATGCTCCAACTACAAAACCTTGAACAGCAGGGTCAGATAATAGATCGAGATACTGCAAAGATAAGTAAGGTAGACAAAGGTAGCCTTCCTCAAACAAAGGCAGAGGAAATCCACACTCAGTTTGATCAACTTGCTCTGTAAGATTGTGCAGACCATCAACACTCATGTCTCTAGCCATAGTAGGGCTTTGTTGTGCTTCTGTCACACTTTTCTGTGGTTTGTATTTCTCACCAATACTGTGACACTTTTCTCTAGATCCCGACAACTCTGAACGATCCACTGTATCTCCAAGTAGTGTTTCATCAAAACTTTGTCTACTAACACGATCTTTCTCCTCTAACAGGTTGCCTGTCTCCTTTGGAGAGAGTTCTTCAATCTGGACCGACCCATTATGTAATTGACCCAGAGGTTCTTGTGCAATTTCAGTTGAAGTATCAGGTTCTACTTGGAGTTTATTATCTATAGCTGCAGCAGGGATAGGAGACAATGGCCTGGAAAGCCTGAAACAATAAAATAGCAAAAGTAAATAATTGATTCCTCTATTATAATATTTATCTTGAGTCTAAAAATTAATTAATTTTTAACTTACACAACATTTGCTGCATGGTGTAGTCCATTTTCTAAACAAAGTGGTAGTAAGGATACCAAAGTTAGCAAAGCTGTAGACAGTGGCCCAGCTGGGGAGCCATATATAAGGACTTTGCGCCTCAACAGTAATAGTTTAAACAGCAACAAAGCTTTGTGCCTCCAATTTTCTACTAATCTCTGTACTGATAAACCTGGAATTAATTGTAATTGGTTAGACAGATACTTTTAATAAATAAACTGTAATTAACTGGAGTATAAACAATATCTTATGATTATATCTATTTATGTCTTTTGGCTACTGTTCCTTTGACTACTCTTATAAATTATAAGTTAAATCTTTATTATTTAATTAACATAAAATTTATTTCTTGAATAACTTAATAGGCAAGAATTAAAATGAATCTAAGGTGATTCATACTGTTGAGTGTTTCTACAATGTAAGTCATTCTAAACTATTTAAATACTTTATATTATTTATCCTTTCTAGTCACTGCTGCAGATAAGGGATTTGTGCTTGTTCCTTTTTAATTTTATAATTGTAGATAAAATCAAAATACCTTCAACAATTTGATCCATCTGTACTGGGCAACTATTAAGATGGATGTATGCATCTTCAAGAAGTTTAGTTTGTGAGAAATCTCCTTGTAGGAACCAGGCTCTTACTACCAGCTCTAGTTTGACAGCAAGACGGCCAAACAGTGGAGCTCTACACACAACGCACACACTCTTCTGCACTGAGCTGCGAGTCATGTCTTCAGTCTTTTGCACAACTTGCTGAACAGGAAAAAGACATGCAATGAATTCACAAAATCATATGTATAACACTATGTATTTTTTAAATTGTTTGTAAATACTGCAAGCAAGGGATAACTAGTACTTATTTACTCATACTATTTTACTGTCCACTTCTAAGAGCATTATTAATTTATAATTATACTGAATTTTAAAAACCTTTAATAAATATTTATGGTAAATTACTTCATAATTTATAGACCTGATTTTATTTTACATAAATAACAATTAAATAAGTTCAAATAAAAAAATAGGTATTATTAGGCAGGACATTTTTAATTAACAAGCCACAAACTACACTGATCTGTTATTACAAGATTATTGGCAAATATAACTCACCTCAACAGGGATTTGTCTGAAGCATGACACACCATACACAGTGTGTGCTGGTTCAGTAAGTCCAGGCAAATTGAAGAATATTGTGTCAGACAAATAGTTGTGGGATCCATCTGGAAGTGCCAGAGCAGGTAAATGTCGCCAAGCAGCTGGCAACTCGGATGGATGGCCAGGTACTAGTTCTGGATAACAGTGTTCCACCTACAAATTTATTAAATAAGTATTGTTTTTATAGCGCAATCATCTGTAATGGTGTTTTTATTGTTGAAGCAGACAAAGTATACGGCATCCGAAAAAGGTATGTAAGTTTACTAACTAAATATATATATATGGTTTAGAAAACAAGACAAACCACTGAATTATTGATTACGCTTGTGTAGCAATTCCAAGCGTACTGACATCTCTTTTTTGAAAAATATATTATCGATTTATGAAAGTAACGACGCCTACTTACTTGGCACCCTTTCTTGTGGTGGAAGCCCACCACAATGATGTTGAGCACTGGTTCACTTATGACAGACATGTTGAATCTATTTTTACATTTCAGTAGGGATAAAACATTTCACTTAATTTTGTTTAATTTACTTGCATTTTACATTACGTATTTGCTCTTCACCCTTAGATTTGACATCTATTTATGACATATCGCTTTGACGTAATACAAAAATATCTGATATTGCCAACATAAATAAATAAGTAACAAACTATTTTATCTATTCGACTAAAGATACAACTTATTGAAAACTAGAGCATCACTGAAAAATACCAAATGGGATTATTTTTTCTTAATCTTTTTAAATGATTATCAATTTTTATGATTCTTTTGTATCATTAACCATGTAAATTCAATTTATTCTATAAAATAAATACAATTTCAACATATTAAGTTACCTTTGTAGTAAAAATATGTCTCGATCTATCTCTTGAATTATGAATTTCCAACATTTATAGTTTCGAAATATTAATTCGTGTCATTTTAAACAAGTGTTGACTTGTTATTTCATTTATTCAACATAAGCCTTTAAACAACTAAATCGATTGAATAGGGAAACGTAAATGCCAATAGACAACGCCCTATTCCTTACCAAAAATAAACAGGTGTATAAATTAAAAAAAGCTCTAAAACATTATGGTTGCAAATTTGAAGAAAAAAATACACTATTTTAGCCATATCTACAAAGTTTATTTTTATCCGTAAAGTAATAATAAACTGTAATGAATTCAGCTTGTGAATGAGTGTTATAAATCTATAAAGTGATACTATTTACTCTACATCAGTGTATAGATTGTTACGTTTGTAATTTTTAGAATATTTGAGTTTGAATTAGTCGCCATTTTCGTACTTGGTGCTGTGAAACTTTTGGATTTGTTAAAAGTTAATGTCGCGTGATAGTGATCACAATAATTAACGTAGCGGTTGGATTTTTATGTGAACTTTTTTACTGTTATTATATCATGGTTGGACCTTGCTTCGCATCTAAGGTTAGAATTATGATTTTACTTATCACGTACTGATTGAAGATTGTAATTTTATTTACTTTATTTGGCTTTCAAGTGTTTTGACGTGACATGCATGACCTGTAACCTGGCTTGTCGGTTTATTTGTCATTACAAGAACATTCGAACGAATTATGTTACTACTAGTGGTTTGTTGCTAAGCCATAAGATTATAGGTTTTACCCTTGTCGTTGCACTTATTGCAGCACCCATTTTTACAAACTTGCGCTTAAAAATAAATTAGATTAAAGCTCGTTGATAAAAAGTTATGAAGTGTTATATTCATATCAAAGTGTTATCAAAAATTATGCCTGATAATAAACACGTGAGATAATTCTGTTGTGGATTCTATAAAACATTAATTATCATTTTATTTAAAGGTAGGTAGATTATTTTAACAATATAAATCGTTAGCTCAAAGTATTGATCATGGAAATTAATGCATGAGGCTACTGAACAAGATCCAAATTCTAATTTGATCTCATTGTCTATGCTAGAAAGTGTTAGGTATTTTGTGCAAGCCAGTCATTGTACAAATATTCTGTTATGTATTGATTGTAGATTATATTTTTCCATCTTCCTCTTATTTTGGTAACTATGAAGAATGATAGAATTTAAGCTGTGATTACACTAATTAGCCATAATGGGTTATCATATAAATTTTTAACTTAATCCACTTGTTGCTTTGTGATATTGAAGCCCATTAAAAATATGCCTGTTTAAAAAACAGTATATTAATAATAAATGTCATTTTTGATAAAATTACCTAACCAAGTGGAAGAGGAAAATCTTAACTGTCTAAGTAAACAGCTCTAAAAAACCTGTTTACACTTTTCCATCTTAAACAAATAAAAAGTGGTAAATAGGTATTTGATATTCAAGGTCAGCATCTCTAGACTAACCAGCATGCAGTAACCAGGCTTATAATAACTAAAATATTTTTGTCTTTGTTTGAAGATTCTATTTATATGACATTAGTGATTGAGTAAAGTGCAGGTGCAACATTTTTATGAAACATCTGCTTGCATTATCAACTTAAAGTAAATTACTTTTCCAAAAAACCTAAGTTGGTATTATTGCTCTACTTATCGTGCTTACGTAATCCGAAAGTTACGACGTATTTAAACTTCCAATACCATAAAAAATGCGACGTAGTACAGTCGGGGGCACATCGTCGTAAGTGGTAAATATTTGACCTTGTCGAAGCCTGTATTTCGTAAGCAATAAGGGTGACTTTAGTTGCGCAAGTATATCGCTGCACTATAGTGCGTACCTACTGTGGTCGATATTAACACGAATACAGGGATTAGTCATATTTTAGGAAATTACGTAGAGAGAGGGGCAAAACAAATATTAATCTAAATGTAATATTTCTATCAATATAGGTACCTACGTACCTACGTATTGTTATCTGTTTAACGAATGGAAATAATAGTGACGTATTTACCGCTAAACCCTACTCATGTTTCTACCTAACAATTTTTATTGATAAGTTATTAGAACTACAATAACTATTACAAGTTTCTAAGTACCTAAAGAGAGATTGTTCATTTTATTGTCTTTGAATTTACCTGGATAAAGTTTGCACTAGGATGACCTTCATAAAATTATTTCGAAATACAAATATTACATTTCTGCAAATGCTTCCAATTTCAAAACAGTTTGTGTTCCATACCTGCTCTATACCGTTATTCCCTGAGGGCGGCATCGGCATTATATCCGCTGCTCTTCATCCTTTTATACACCTTTACTCACGGATTAGCTAGAGAGAGAGGTGCGATTTGTTCCAATTATACATTCGTGTGACAAAATGGAATGCAGTGGACAAAATACTGCTTCGTGAATGTCCACTCGATACGTAAAATCTAACCGCCGCTGTTGAAAACAAGACTAATATAGTCATACTTTGGAGTATATAAAAATAAAATGGAATTTTACCACACGGTATGCTTAAAGACGTAGCTAGGTATGAAACGAGTGTGTGACGCATCTTTTTACACATGTGTAATAAAGCACCATCGTTTTATACATGTTATGATAGTTCGCTTGCTGCTGTATTACTAGCATATTATTTCATTTCACTGAACAAGGATTGACCATTGTTTGTTGTTAAGCTAACATTTAGGTACGCCAAAATTGTCTTTGTGTAATGTAGATTATAAAACTTTATTTGTGAAATGTGAATAAAACTTTTTTATCTTTTTTGCAGGATTCGAAGGAGTGCTTTTTAGATCCGCAGGCATGACGGAGAAAGTATTGCACCCAGGTAAGTCTTCGTTTTTTCTCGCAAGCTCGTCACCTTTACTTTCAGTACTTTAACACTTATGTCTCGATTTACTTACAATATTTCTTTGTGCTACGTTCTGAGTAGCAGATATTTTTGTCTAAAGTTGGTACCTATAAGGGGTCACGTGACGGTGACGTCACAGACGAGCAGTCACCAGATCAATAAGGACTCGAGGTCATTCCAGTCTGGCCCGACAAATACGTTACCGCGCCTTTTACAGACATGGTTTGCGGCAGATTCAATGTGTTACCTCTCACATCTATGCATCTTTTTATTTGCTAAACTTATAGGAGTAACCAGTCGATTTTTTGGATCGGTGCCCGCACCTTGGCTTAGACGTAGAGGTGATATTTGTGTCTCCGATTGATTCGATCTCTTACCAACGCAATTGCAAAAGGCATTTCATTGTTAACATTCTACTATCACGTGCCACGTGCCACGCCCTGTCCTGCAAATATTCTACCAATCTTAAGTACCTCATCGGTGCTGTGAACTAGCCAGCTAAGAGGGCCTAACTCGATGCCAAATGCGATCACTAGGTGTCATTAACCTCTAGAACTAAGGGACCACGTATTCCACGTAGCCATTCAGCTACTTAATAATGTATGTTCTATGCGGTTTCCATATCCAAAGTACTCGTGCAGTTTATGATTACATTTCTATGAAATGTAAAAGAACATGGTATATGATATTTGACATACTTATTCTGCCGACTTCAATTATTTTGGGATTTTGGGATAACAGCAATAAGAAGAAGAAGAAGGATAAAGAATAATAGTAAGTCGCCACTTACTACTTTTTCTCCTGACTTCCAACGTATTTACTAAGATAATGTTTATAGCATAATAAACTAGGTAGATACATCGTTGCACTTGTGCAAATAAACATTATTATAAGCGTTTCTCTACGCACATGAAAGGTCATCGTTTCAAGGTTGAAGGCTTATAATGTACGGTTGGAATCAATAAGTATCGAGTATAGCTATGTCTCTGTTGAGATCTGTCTGTACTGTATAACAGGCAGTTACGTGTAAGAGGGGAGATGAGGCGGTGAGGTGCGGTGCGAGGTGCATGTGCCTTGCATCGGTTGACGCATCGCGGTTGAATCCCCACATAGGACGCGAGGAAGTATGTAAAAAGGTGTATATAAGACGTGGATCGATGCCGGGGCCGACACCCACCTCCTACTGCACAACTGATGATAAAATTAATGACGCACTTTGTTCACCGAAAATATTACAATTCAGCGTTGAAGATCTTATCAAGTAATGGTTATAAAAATCCTAAGTTAATTCATTCCTACCATAATTTAAAATAACATTTCCAACACTAAAAAAACTAAACAAGAAGGAATTCCTAAATATTGAATAGGTGTTATAGTATTATTACCCCGAGGGCCATTTAAAATCTTTAATGACATACTGTAACACCGCACATGCGCGTTTTGGTGACCTTGAGAATTTGTGACGCGAATGAATTAAGTGGTTTTGTGTAAAACTTTTTATTTTTAATGATAATTTAAGTACTTACATAAATTAAAAGATTGTTTATGAACAACTATACAATTGTTTAAATATAAGGCAAAGCATGCAATTAGACAATGAGATTGTGTTTCATGGAAAGTCTCATATGAGTGAATTGGTTCAGTAATGAGATAAAAACGACTTAAATTCAATGAAGTCGAGCGGGTTTTCTGTAATGGTGGCTAGCGCGAAATTACAGAGTAGCGTCTGCGTTGTTGCCACGTTTACCTTTGCGCGTTTACGATTAATTCGCGCTGCGAATGTGGCGCTGAGTTGCATCAGCCGAACCTATTCAATCCATTCTAATTTAAATCTCATGTTGTTAACTCGCTCACGCCAACACCGAACGTAACGTATGAAAAGGACGGACTGGACTGTGTCGACTACTACGAACACTCAATAGAATTTATGTTTTGAACATCATTGCCTCAATCACGAGCCACGACCCGAACTCGTCGTATAATTACAGAAAATACACCAAAAACCTAGGTAGTCTTAAACTTAAAAACTTATTTCAACTTTGATTCTGATTCGGAGGAAGTGAAAGTAAAAACGTTTCAGTGATTTTGAAATAATGTTGCTAAGTCACGCGTGGCTTCAACTTGTTTCTATAGGGTTTCTGGGTTCCAAAATTGTACCAACTTGAACTTGAGCAAGAGCCAACAAGGGATTTGTTTCTTAACTTACCTAGAATACTAACATGATGATAGAGTGGTAACTCATAATAGGGCCACTGAACTGGGCGCTGCGCTATACGAGTGAAACCCGGTCCGCTTGAGGTCAACGAACTGTTCATTTTGCTGCATCCGTTGCAAATACTGCGCGGCGCATCGATGCCGCCACCAATTCTGTCGACTGAATACACCACTTTTTCATTTAGCTAAGTAAAAAGTGGTCTGAATTTCAAAGAAACTACAACTGAGGTTGGCTTGCCAATAGAAAGTTGTACGCGCGTTAAAACCACTGCATTCTGTTGTTATGGATGTTATGACGACTGTTGTTATTGCTAACCAATCCTTGTAATAATAAAAACGACAGCTACGTCTTTATTCCAGTATTAACTACAGATGTTAGCTTCAAATAAGGATTATTGAGTTCGGATTAACACCCACTTGTAAAATGATGATTACTACTGATCGACATCATCAGCAGTAATTTCACTTATAGGAATGTAACTATGTCAAGTTTATCGATTGTGAACAACGTATGTACGAACTCGTAGTTCGTCGGTAACCGTAAAGACCGGCAAGTACACCGATGTAAAAATATAAAAATCGTCTCATGATTTTAAATAAAACTGCTGATTACTTTCACTTTTCAAATGTCTCAATTGAAGAATTTGGAAATTTATTATCATCTTAAAAAAAATGTGTAGATAATTTTGAGTATTGTTATCCTAACTAATTAAAAAGGAATTTAGAAAACTCCAAAGCTAAGAGTTGGTTCATGAACACGAAATATCGATCGCATGACCGATAGCTGTTGGCAATCCGCCCTTTGTGTAAAGCGCGACCCCAACACGAAGCTTACTTGAATCTTTAAATACGAATGTTATTTTTTTACTTTTAACTGTAATTCGGGGTTTATTGGTGTTATTACAAGTGGATAAAGTAACACATCAGTGCAAGCCATAATTATTGCGACCGTTCTGATTTATAGACCCCGGCACTAAAAGGTGCTCACGTATGATCGGCACGAGTGTTCAATTATTCTTTTTTGCTATTTTATTTTCTTCATGAAAATATTATGAAAACGTTCTATTTTTTTCTTTGATATTAAACATAGAAATTCTTTTCAAAAGTTTTGGTTGGGCTTCTGTCTGGAGTTGACGTAAGCCGAGCAAATGGCAACCGTGTTATTCGGGGGCGGGTCGGGTTGCGCGGCGGCGGTAATGGGCTACGTACGCGTCGCCTTTCGCCCACGGGAACTGGTTTCACGCAGCGCTTGACAACTTGTGGACTCTTTGATTTGATTCAATATTATTTCATTGCCACGTTAAATACCTGTCCTTAAGGATATTGTATTTGTCTTTGATCAATTTGCTATACGATTTACCTTTAATCGTTTATATTTGTGACTTATCTTATGAGTGACTGACGTTGATAATATTGGACTCGCAAAAAAATCTTTAGTGTCGACATAGGCGGAAGGGAGGACTGGGTGTTTAGGGGGCGCCCGTTGTGGGAGGGATTTATATGTATAGTGGCGCGATCACGTGTACATTTTGCAGCTTGTATTGATCCTGTCGTCTTTTTCTTGTTGTTAAATACGATTACGCTTCATAGCTTTACTTATAGTAATGTAGTGAAAAATCAAATTAAAACCACCTTTTAACATCGTGATTAGCTTAGTCAGGTTCAGACGTTTGATAAAAGTGCCTTATTTTATTAAACATGAATAAATATTCAAAATAGACCCTATCGATTGTCGGATAATGTTAGAAATTTCTAAATCAAGTAGGCTGTTACAGTAGTAGGCAGTAGGAGTGTGTGACACCTAGGAAGAAGTAACGAATTATGCTATTTTAAATGTACGTTAAGCCCACTTGAATATGAGATTCGAGATTTGTGCTCGCTCTATTTCGGTGTTTGTGGCGCACTCGGCAGTCGGCAGCTAATCGGCGCGTCACGTGACGAGCGCCGGAAGGACGGGGGGTGCGGGTTGGCACCGCGGGCCGCGGGCAGGGGCGTCGGAATGCAGTCACCACCGCTCGATGCACAGCATAGCTACTCGATTGATCGTCAAGCTCTTGCTCCACTTTACACACGCACTGGTCAAATCAAATCATCACAACTAAAAATACTTACTTACCAACAAATGAGTTCATGATTATACCTAGCTAAGTATATTCGCTTATCGATACTCTGGAAAAAATGGTTGACGTCATTTACATTATTAAAGCATTTCCTCGTAGTCATAATGTCCTTGAGAATGACAAAAAAGATGATCAATATAATAAAGTGTTTAGTGATAACAAGTACCTCTTTAATAGTGTTGAGTTTATGGTAAGATCGATAAACGAAATACCATCGAAATGGAAGTAGACGTTCAGTACATACAATACTATAAAATTATGTACCTATTGTATGTCATTTAAAATAGTTTAATTTGTTATCTTAACGACTAAAACCGTATGAAAATTACCTAACTTATTTGTTCGTTTCAACATCTATTATTGTCATGACGGTATTACAATGAAGTATTTGTATTAATAATGTCATCAGTCATCATACTCATTATTCTGGCATCTAGTTGACTAAACAAAGCTATGTTGTCACTTACTGTTAAACTGAAAATTCAAAAGAAATGGCCGATGTAAACCGTGAACTATTTAATAGATACGAGCTTTTCTCATTTTCGTGGCAACTGTCTGTTGGTGGTAAAACGGTTACTTGTGTTGGTAATAAAAGTACTTTACGACCTGCTCTTGGTCATTAAAATTGCCACAAAATAAAATCTGCGATGTTGGTTTAATTTCCCATGGGCTTGAATAACTGATTATTCAATTGAACTAAATCCTGAAAAACCAAATTGAAGTCCTTGAGATAAACGACCACCTAGGCTACCATATATTATATTGATATAATTTTTGGTAGGTAAATGTATGTAAGTACTCCGTTACCGGTAGCAGTAAATCGTTTTCAGCACGGGGCAACATGTTGTATTTCAGCCAGTAGTTAGGCATGTTATTTCATACTTGTGAGCAAATATTTTATTCGGTCTCGTTAAGTTAGGATGAAATAGTGTAGTACAAAGCAGTAATTGCAGCGTGCGGATTGCAGGCGATTGCCCCTCACCCCGCCACGCAGCCCCGCGCTCGAACACCGTAAGTAAACAGTCTGGTGTTTATCCGCGTCTCGCTCGCACCGACCGCGTCGCGTCGCGCCTCTGAGGTGCACTCGCTGTTCCTATTATTTTCGTGACGGGTATTGCGCCGAAGCCGATTCCCGCATCCTCGCCCCCGAGACGCGAGGTCCGGTCTCGCGGCGGAGGCGGCGGCGACGGCCGTTCGCATCGCGCGCCAGTCCGCGCCCGAGGCCGACTGTCGCATTGGTCCGTGCCTACGAAACATTAGGTGTTTGTCGTCGATGTGTTGAAATTGAAAATGCGGCACGTTCCGAGTGCGTATCACGGTGGGTGAAGAGCGCCCGGCCGCGGCTTGAATTTCATCGGTATCGTGACGTGTTTGGTGACAGTGAGTGGATTGTGTATTGGCGTGCCGATGATACACGTGAATGTGGATGGAGTTCGGAGTGGTGTTGGAAGATGCATTTCAAAGAGTCGTTCGCGATGAGCGATCGACCGAACGAGCGTGGCCGCCGCAACTCCCGCTGCAAGGGTGGGTGTCTGCTTGCCTTGACGGCTGTCAGTCGTCTGCGCTCGACTGCTCGTCGACCACAACACACCACCATGTTATGCATAGCATGGCCTATGTGCCTACATCTTTCCGTTACTCTACCACTGGCATCTGATATTCTGATCACAATTTTCAACCCTGTTCAAATACGATAACAATAGTTATAAATTATGACTGATTGCGATTTGTTTATTAACTTGTAAACTTTATTGCACAGTAATTTAATAAAGATTGATTCTTAATGTTCATCTTTATATATCGGAGAGAACGGGCTAGATAATGGTTCCATAACAAGCAGCCGGGGACACTTTGAATGGGGACTATTGAACTTAAAACCAACTCGTTTTCCACAACTAGAAAATCGCCTTGATGAGTGTGACGACTTGTAGTAGTATAGTTACCTAGCGGTTTAATTATAAAGAGTCGATGCAAAGCTTTTAATTCGAACATTTCAGTTATTGGCTGGCTCTACTGTTGACATAAATACGCGATCAGCTGTAGCGTCTCTATGAATTCTAGTGCATTTGACACACTCTCTAATTTTCTATTAAACTCAAATAACTCGTGCATAATTCTGTAGTGTCGTTTACCGGTATACTATATGATGCGTTGTGTAAATTAATGGATAATTTGAAGAGAAAACATTAGACATGCTTAAATTATGTTCGTATTGTGTACGTTGTGCTGATTTAACAGTAAAAGCTAAATGTTTTCCTCTGAAATGTTAAACTTTGCCTCATTTTTACAGTGTTATTTGCTTACTTCTTATAAACATTTCGACAAGTTATGTGCACCTACTTCTCGTTGAAATATTTGTTCCTATTGTAATACAATCTTTGTAACTGTAAAATATGATGTTAAGTATAGGTACTTAATACTTAACCGCTCCTACTATCCTGACAAATATAATTATACATAGTATATGAAGTAAAGTAAATAAATTTCGAGATAAAGTGATGCATGTATCCAAATTGAATAAAAAAACAAAACATGCAGCCGCATGTAATCTTTTATGAATGAAATAAAATGAATTGGTTTCGTTCTTTATTTCGCAAAGATCTCGGGACCCCTAATATGTCAGAGGCACTGAACTGGCGACTAACTAGCAACATCCGTACGATAATTCAGACACAATAGGCGATCTTGGTTCCATCTCCAATCTCCAGTTTTATAAAGTACATTGTATTCCTATGGATATGGACACAAGTAGTGCCAAACCTAAAAAAAAAATATGGTTCACAAAATGAAGGCCAGAACCTAGATTTTCTTGTTTAAAAGGTCTCTTATTTAATTCAATGTATAGCTATTGGTTATAGGTGTTCAAAAGTCGTACTACACTACCTATAAGTTGCGGCAACCTGTCTTGCCATCGCAACAAGTAGTTCCTACGGCGCTGGATCTGGTTAAATACCGTGGCTATAGGCTTTGGAGGACTTAGCTCGGATCAACATTTAAGTAGGACTTTCCAAAGACTGGTCTAATAACTTATGAATGGTAAAGGGCCATCGATAAAACTTAATAATTAAATATAATAGTCAGAATTATGACATTCTCAGTTTGATTTTCCTCAAAAGGAATGGAAAGGTTTTTGGAATTTATCCGTATCCTATATTTACGTACTGAATCTTACTTCGACTGCGACCGAAATAGTTTTCACGTGTGTCATGATGACATAGCGTTAAAATGTCTTAATTTTGGCAGTATGTTTTGTAACTTTGTCTGGTTATATGGTCTTGTAGTATGTATTCATACTCCCTTGTGTTGTATTTATAAAATTTCCTGTAATGTCGGTAGTTTTATGAAATACAGTAATCAAAAAATAATGGTGGCATGGTTTTAATAGTGAATGTATACAGTTCAATGTTATAGCAATGCCTCATAATGAGTAGAACTAGACAAGACTTTTTTGTGTATCAGGGTTGCAGACATGTACAGAAATGTAGGGACGGTCTTTTGTTGAAAATGTAAGCCAGGTGATCTTACAACAGAATCTTGTATCCAGCAAGCTTGTCTGTAGACTAGTTGCCCCCTACCCAATGTTTTAATGATATATCCACTTAACATCGCTTAAAGTAAATGAATATATAAACGAAGCCGTTTTTTCCCCAGATAAAAGTATCGGAATATAAAAACTAGTTAAACCACATGAATTCCTCGACCTGTAGTGTTTTCGTTTTCAACTCTCAATGTCTCTCAATATTTGTAAGACTTATTAAATGTTAATATACTCGACTGTTTAATATGAATTTATCTTAGGTACTTACACTTAACAAAAATGGTGCGTGGCATTATTTTAACCTTATTTATAAATGATATTTGTATGATAATTACTATCATTTTGTTTTGTCTTAATTAGCCAGCAAATGCTAATGTACACACAGCTGCTAGTTGCCTCACTTCGTAATGAAACATTATTACTTGCAGTTACCTCTTTGTTATGAGAAGGCAAGTAAATTAAATATCGTGTTCATACCGTTATACGCAGGATATGACTTATGATCACTCATGAGCTTCGTCTGTATACATTACATGACATTTATTTATTCATTCTTCACTACATAATTACTAAGCTATAGTGGATTGTCTGTCATTGAATAATGTCACCGAAAATTATTATTTCAATAAAAAAATCTAGATTTTTATCAGTTACTTAGAGGTAATGAATCAGTCACGATTCACTTGACTACGACATTCGTTAAAGGCCTCTGGGGTTATGCGGTAGGTAAGGGTGGGGTGTGGGGAGAAAGGGAGTCGCAAAGGATGGAGGTGAGATCATAGTGGCGAGTGGCCCGGGGAGGCGATCGATATGTACATTGAACATACATACGTATCTATATAAATAACTGTACCTAACTTCTCGCAACTCAACTGTCTGCTCCAGATACTGCGCCAAAACCCTGCCCCCCTCCGACCTCTACCCCTAGCTACCTATTCTTTAGCAAAAAGATCAATTTTAAACAGAGAACATCAACTTGGAGCTGTTGAGTACCTACGTATTTAATTACACGGGTTTCATTTATATTTTTAGCATACAATTTTTATGTGGTTTGTTGTTATCTATGTTTAAAGAAATAATTAGCTTCAACACATTTTATTATAACGCTTGCATTCTCATAATAATATGCTGAAAGGATGTGGTGATATAACCACTTCCATGGGTCCTCAGCCATTATCTAAATTGGTCGTATGTAGACCACATAACGTCATTTCAGTACCTACATGGCACATTCTGTGCCCGATCTGATCGTACAAGATAGGGACATCACCAATTGTTTATAATGGAGATTGGTGACATAACATTTATGTGGTTTATGAAAGCAGTCAGTGTTCTATAATATTTCAATATTTGGCAACGGCATACCAATAAAAAGGATGATTGATTAGTAAGGCATTGGTCGAAGATGACTCAAACTAGTCAAACACTCTTCAAATATTGTCACAAATCCGTATAAAATATAACACCGAATGTCTATGTTAGATACTTAAAACTTGCCTATGTTACAGCACGTCACATTTATAAGGCAAGGCATTTCAAGGATTCGCCAAATTATCCATCAGTATTTTGACTGATACAGACTTAAAAGTAATAAAACAGGTCTAAAAAATCTCAGTATCATCTCTTCTATAATTAGTAAAAAGTGGGTAACATACTTTCAAATGACCTAAAGCCTCTTAGGAATCGAACACAACAGCCCACTCCACTCGAAGACCATTTCTGAAAAATGCTGAATTATAAAAAAAAACGTAATTATAACCGTGATCATAATATAGTAATCGTAGACATAAAACATAATGTCATAGGTCATATTATTATGAGTTTTATTTGCACACTGGACGTGATCCTTGATCTCATTCTTGCAATGACAGTCGCCGCTTTACTTGGTTTTAAATTTTCTTATCACAGTTAACTATGTGTGTATATTATGCTCTAAAACATATTTAATTAAATCACTTAGTGATGTGGTATTAAATGAAAACTGCGCATGTTTATTTCCCACTTGATGTGGTCGCCGCAATCCATGTAGTGCCAACTTGGATACGAAACCAATTGTTGTCGGCGAGTTAATCAAGTCTAGTTGAGGATAGGCTGTTCTCTAATTAAGGGTGTTTATGAGTTCAAAATCAAAATCTTAAACTTATCAGAGATTTACATATACTGCAACACCGGAATCTAGATTTCATCGGAATGTTTCTCATGGGACTTTTTTGCACTAAATCTTAATTGGCTTTCCACGAATCTTTGCCTGGTCAAACCAGATCATTGCAAAAACTAGTAAATGCCAAATCATTAATTTAAAATCTCACTCAGGTACTCTCATTTACTACTATTCGCTTGCGCTTATCCAAGCAAGGGTATTTGTGGTCGGCACAATGTCTTTTTAATACTTACCTAAAAGACGCCATGGTATTTAAAATTATTTCTCTTTCATATCATCATTCATGTAAATCATCTCATTACTGTTATCATAATAAAGAAAGTAATTTATAGAAACCTTTCTGACATGATCGATAGATCATGACGTTAAGCTGTTAGCTACTCAAATCTATAAGATATATTATGCTGACTAGTGCTGAAAATCAGCGCTGGGACTCTTCGTTGGCCAGGGGCATTAATAAGCTGGTGGTTTTGGAATTTTGCCGGTAAATTACTAGAAGAATGGAATTTATTTTAATAAGTTCTTTTGAAGTCTGCGGTAATGGATGACGGCTAGTATACGTCCTTGATTCTATCCAGTGTTTAATTCGGTAAAATATGAATCTTTTATTTCCTTTTTAAAATCTAGATGCAGTATGGAATATAAAAAAAAATTGACAAATACCTGCAAATTGTAATACGTATACACCCACTTTTTGACTGTGACGTTATTAGTCACATAGATGGGGGCGTGTCTCTTACTGCCGGCACCAGACAAATTCACTATCTTTTAAATTCGGAACTTGAATTGACCAACGAGTCAATTTTTTACTTTCTCTTATACTTCATG